GGGGGCCGGGTGACCCACCTACCTCAAGCTTTGTGAGAGCTTCACCGCCAGACCCTGCAGGTCTCAGAATCAGGTGTTCTGTCAAGTGGCACCTGAAAAACGGTTGGGACCAGGAGGGGGGTGTCCCTTGGCAGGCATCGGCAGCTCAACTGCAGCGCGCTCAGGCATGCCCTCTCTTCCTTGGCAGTGGGGCCCTTCTGCGCCTGCACCAGTGCCAACAATAACACATACTGGTGCATGAGGACGATCAATGAGACCCACAACTTCCTCTTCTGTGAATTTGCAACGGGCTTCCTGGAGTACTTTGACCTCAACACAGACCCTTACCAGGTACAGCCGCCACCAGCTGCAGAAACGAGGTGTGGGTATACAGGAACTGCCAGTTAGACCCTCACTGAGGTTATGACGAACTTCCAAGTGCCACTGAGTCCCTAAGACAGGAAGAATGAGTTCTGAGGCCACTGAGAACTTGGGGACGCAATGTCCCGTCTGTCTCTGTCACCATCATTTTTTATCCATGACATATGGAGCTGCTTCCCTCTAGCTTAGGCACATATCAACTTCCAAGAGGCTTCACAGGACTCCTAGAGCTGCCAAGCTACAGGGTCCCGCCACCCACTGCACACCCCAGCCTACAGGGACCGTTAAGATGGCTGTACTAGCTGCGGCAAGAGAGTTCTGCTCCAAGCTTTGTATTTTCAGTCACCTAGACGGATACCTGATTGAAGTGAGCCAGTCACACATGACAAATACGAGCAGCAGAGGGACGATTAACGGGAACACCTGAGCCCTGGTGCCAGGGAGCACCATGGAGCTTGGCTCCAGAGCTGCTGTGTGGTGCGGCCTTCATACTGTCCAACCGCAGCCTTTTAAGAAAAGCCTGAAATAACTTCTTGACCTCGATTTTTAATTACCTGCAGCTCAACTGATTTATTAGGGTGGCCATCCAGGCTGACAGTCTTTTCTCCTCGGACAGGTACCTCCCATGGGGCAGGAGAGGACAAGAAGTTAGCTGGCCACTAGTAGTCCCAGACTAGGCAAGGACCCAGTCACCTACCCACCCTTTCACCAGATGGCCATTTTCTGGTCAAGAAGAACTGAGGGACTGTGACAAAAGGCTGCTGACCAAGCCGAGGCTCGGAAGGCTTCTTTCCCACTTAGGGAGCTTCCTGACCCGAGGCTCTTGAGGTCAGCACTGAGTACACAGGCATGGCTTCTGTCCTCACTAGGAGAAGACCTGGTGGGGACGGAAGTCAAAACACCACCGAGCTCTTCCAAACTCGGGAACAATCAGGACACCACACAGCACCTTGTACTCCCAACCTGCCTGAAAAAGTGCCCCAGTAGGGAGAAGAGGATGGGAGACGGGGTCTCAGGACTCCCTGCTGACAATCTGCCTTGATCCCAACCAGCTGATGAACGCGGTGAACACGCTGGACAGAGACATCCTCAACCAGCTGCACGTGCAGCTCATGGAGCTGAGGAGCTGCAAAGGTTCCAAGCAGTGCAACCCCAGGACGCGGAACATGGACCTGGGTAGGTAGGGCCCAGTGTGGGGCCCACACACAGCAGGGTGACCACAGGAAGGACTCACGTCTGCCCCAAGAGTGACCCAGAATCACCAGGAACTGGGGTGATATAATTTGAGACTTATCATCTGGAGGTTACAGAAAGTTCCTACCCAGGGCAAGCAGTAGTTAGTTTCTGATGAACTGTGCTTCCAGGGAGATGAGCACCTTGACCCTCCACACCAGAAACACCCGATCCCCTCTTTTCTCTTTCCTCCTTTGTTCAGTTATCCACTGACCAAGTGCCCTTGGTTGGCGGCCCTCACACCCATGTCTGCCTACTACCCCACCACGACTAAGGTCAGTGTTGAAGCAAGGAACACCCTGCAGCTGATACTGACAGGCCATCTGCAAGGCCACCTAGATTTAAAGGAAGTTCACCTGATCATTCAGGCCACTCCATCTCACTAGAAAATGTTCACAGCATCTTGATCTCAAGACAAAAGCCCAAGGTGGTTTTCTGGGTGGTAGTTTTTTTTTTGGTTTGTTTTTTTTGTTTGTTTTTTTGTTTTTTTCTGTAGAAAACAATTATAGAATTTGTCATTGCTTATACCATTTTTATCCTAAACAATCTTTTCCTTTTTGGTCCCTTTCTTGCTCATTTAGGACTTAAAGATGGAGGAAGCTATGAGCAATACAGGTATTCTGTTTTGTTATTAAGTTGGAGGACAGTTCCCCCACGTTGACCCACCTTCTAGTCTCCCATCTGTGAGATTGCACCTGGAGAATGTGTCCTTTCTTGGTCTGCTGGGAGCCTCAATCGCCCACCGGTGATAGGTTTCACCAGAGACCTTCTTTGTGTAGTTCTTTGGGGGTGACTTTCTTTCTTGGTGATGGTTAACACTCATTCTCTTTTTGACACTTGAAAACATAGGCAGTTTCAGCGTCGAAAATGGCCAGAAATGAAGAGACCTTCTTCCAAATCACTGTGAGTTGAGGAACAGTTCACAAGTAGAGGTCTGATTCTCACTTGCTTCCTCTTGCCAAGGCTGTTCTATGTGCATGCCAGCTTGATATTATCACCTCCCTCCTCCATCATCCCCCAATTCCCATGAGGAGGGGAAACAGTAATGTCAGTCTTTCCTGTGAGATAACAAGTAAATAACTTCGTTTTTAGATTAACACCTTATCCGTACACTGTTCTCTCTGTGCTTAGTAAACTTGAGCTATGACTTCGAGGTTGAGACGCATTTAAATAATACAGTTGCCAGACATCTTGAAGGCTGTGGCTGCAAAAGCACCAAGTGGTACACAGTCAGCCACAGGGTGGCCTCATTGAATGGTTTCCATCCTTGGGGCTAGGGATATAGCTCAGTTGGTAAAGTGCTTGCCTTGCATGCACAAGGCCTTGGGTTCAATCCCCAGCACCCACACACACAAAAAAAAAACCTCCATCCTATGAACTGTCCTTCCAGTGCCAACAGAAGCTGGCAACCTGGAAAGCTCACCTCACTCTAAGGGAGCAGCCAGTTTGTTCTGTGCACAAGTGGGGTATAGCTTGTCTGAAAGAATTCACTGCGGAAATCAAAAAATGCAGATGTGTGTGAATTCATTTTAAACACAGGCAACAAATTTTCCTACATGGGTAAACCTAGTGAGCTGCCATTTGCAACCTCTGGTCTACTCATGCATATAAACTGATGTGGTGTCATTGGGACAATAGTAATGAGCCAGCTAAACATTTATATGGGGCTTCCAGAATTTATATTTTGTTCTCCTCAGCCACTGTTCTGTGCATATCCTAAACACCACCCTTGCCAGCTACTGGGTGTATAAAGGAGCAACTAAAAATTGGGACAATTTAAAGAGAAGTAACCTCAGGGTTACCTAGAAATTCTCATTTTCAGCAGCCACATCCTTGAAGCAAAGCTTACTCAGCTGTAGGCCTGGCTAAGGCATCTAAGCAGCAGGATTATCAAAAACTAAAGAGTTTTGTTCTTTCTACAGGGGACAACTGTGGGAAGGCTGGGAAGGTTAAGAAGCAACAGAGATGGACCTCCCAAAACCAAGAGGCCTCGCCTGATCGTACAGGCCTTGAAAGACAACGTGTGGCGAGCCAGGAGTCCTGAGAGCACCTACTTTCCGTCAACATGGCAAATTCTGGGGGATAACCGTCAGGAACAGAGAACTTCAGGAAGTCCACTTTGCCCCTGCTTTGCTTTGGATTATACCTCACCAGCTGCACAAAATGCATTTTCATATCAAAAAGTCACCACTAACCCTGAGAGTCTCACAGGGAAAAAAGAACCAAGAGATTTTCGTGGAAATTTTCCCCAAGGGTGAAAGTCACTGGAATTTTTTTAAATCACAGGGGAAAAAACAACCCTGTTTTAAACCCTCTTTTTCTTTTAGTTCATTACAAAGAAACTAAGCAGCAGGACAGGGACAACTTAGAGATGCTGAAAGCAGCACACAGAGTTTGACAATGAGTCAATAGCACAAAAAAAGTGACATTTACCTAGCTTGATAACCCTGGTTGCCTCTGAAGAAACTGCCTTCATTGTATATATGTGACTCTCCACATGTAACCAACAAGGGAACGTTTAGGGGAATCTAATAAGAAATCGCAATTTTCGAGAGTGGTGGTGTCAATAAACGCTCTGTGGCCAGTGTGAAAGAAAACTCCCTTGCAGTTGTGGACATTTCTCTTCCTGCCCATTCTGCCCAGAATTGCTTTGTTATATCTATCCCAGAACTGATATTTTTTAAGGTACTAAAAAGAAATGAAGTTCATGTATGTCCCAGATTTTAACGACACTGTATTTGTAAGAAATTTTGTAGTGTAAGTATTGTCTTACTATGTTCAAAATCCTAGTCAATGACTAGTCATTGCTATGAAGAAACCATTGACATTTTTGTAAAAAGCTATTCTTGGGAGTTTTTTTTTTTTGTTTTTTTTTTTTGCAGTGCCTGTTTTTTGATTTTTCACTACCAGCCAACATCCTTTTGGATGGAGATGCCTTGAAGTTAAAGGGATAGTCATGAACAAAAATGTACCATTCTTGAAGGGACCTCACAGGTAAGCCTCACATTACACCAGCTACAGGACAGCAGTTCACTTCGAAAACCCTTTTTTGTGTGCCAGGTAGCATAACCTGCTATCAGTGGTTGTCAGAATTCTATAACAGGAGGAGGAACCCCATCAAACCAACCCATCTCTCTCTTAACAGATGATCTCTAAGCACTCACAGTCTGTAAAAGCAGTTCCAAGCCTTTCAACGCCCCCAACAGGCCCCCCTAACAAAACAGTGCTCTACCACATAAAAACAAAGGTATTGTGTCCAACTACAACTAAAAAATAAATTTAAAAAACAAAACACTAGTAAACTTCACAAAAACTGCTACCATTATTTGATTTGAAAAAAGGCTTCCTCAAGCATCCCTTATACCATTAATCCAACAGTGATGAGTGGAGGAAACATGCTCTTAGGCTCTGGTTTTAAATAGAAACCTTTATTTACAAGAACATCCAAAACTGTCAGCAAAGCAGTCACAGCTCACCACCCCATTTCATGAGTATTCCCATGTAGTTAGATGCTTTGCAATGTGAAGAATGACTTAATGTAAACTTGACTGAAACCAAATTCATTCTCAACACTGTTTGGTCAATTCCTGAGAATTTCAATATTGCTCTCAGAATGACATTTCCATCTTCTTCAAAACTCCATACACTGGAAAGAAAAAGAAAGAAGGGAAGAAAAAGAAAACACCCTGCCTGTTTGCAAATAGTATGCCTTGGAGTTGAAAACAACCCAAATTCCTCTGCTGCAGGGGTAAAACCTCATCTGTCCTAGAGCTCTCGCTCCTGTGCATTTCCTCCTTGGGAACATAACTCATGGCTTCTGCAAATGAAGAGACCTGGGAAGGCATGTGGGCAGCTGTTCACAGATTCATGCTATCTACTTCCAGCTGCATCTACCTCTGGTTCAAAGAACTTCTAGGACACCAGCCAACTCTCATCTTGCGCAGTACACAACTCCCTTGTGTACCCCCAACCCACCTTAGATATTCAACACTGATAAACTAAGATTGTTGATATTTACACCTTTCAATCCAGATGCACAATTTAGAAAAATGGCATCATAACATTAACAATGCAATTTCTATTTTCTAAAGGAAGAAACATGTATCTCCTTTATATCATTTTGATCTTCATAAAATATATTTTTATTTATATAATAATCTTTGGATTCAGCAAAAAAGTAGGTACTGGAAATACCCCACATCCTAAAAGCAGATGAAAAGATATACTGTTTACTCAACAGATACCTATGTTTAAAAAGAGGGGGCTGAAGGGAGAGTTTAAGAGAGGTAGGCAGCAGGAATACAAAAAGAATTATCCAAAAATGATAAAAGGACAATAAAGGTTAAAAACAAATTATCTCAAAGACTGCATCCATTAAAAGGAAACCAAAATCTTGAGTTTGCACCAATAAAATCAATAAGTAGAAAATATAAAAACTTATAATCTCATTATTTTCCCCATACAAAAAGTGGGTGTTGCTGCCTTCCATCGGCCTAGAGTCAGGACTGAAAAAAAGTTTTGTTTCAATTTTTAAAAGTCAAGAAAGGTAGGAGCACCATTCTGTCCTCCCCATATATACAATTTGAATGAGGAAAGTTCAGACACACCCAAAACCACTAGATTGAAAAAGACTCACTTGGTGTGGCTCTGGCTCCACACAGGAGACGATGTCATCTGAAAAGCCTGGGCCAATAAGGTGGAAGTTCATGGATTTACAATCTGAGATTTATTTTTATCGCAGGGGGGTGGGGAGGTAAGAGGCAAGCTCATGATGGTCTACACACTGTTGAAAATATAAAACCCACTCTAGTGGTAGTTTCTGGAAATGGGGCTTCACTTATTCAAGTATGTCAAAGAAATTAAATGATCTTACCTTAAGAGACATCGAAAAAGGTTGGCTAATCATGTGAAAGTTTAAAAAAAAAAATCAAGTGGCTCTTAGTTATTGCTAGAAAATGACACCAAGGCTAGCAGAGACATTTGAAATTCATAAATATCCCAAAACCCAATTTATTCAACTATTTGAACCCAAAAAAAAGTAACCCAGATAATGAGAATTAAACTTGATTTTTCTCCTACTCCAAAATGATTAGAACAGTATCAGAGAGAGAAAAGTGGCAGGTGTGTGGGGGCAGTGCTCAGACTGGCTCCGAGTCACGGCAAAACTGGCTATTATGGATACTGAAGTTCTGAAGAAACAACCACGACACTGTCCTAACTTTCAGGGAAGCCGTGAGAACACCACACATAGCAGCAGAATGACCAGACACAGCTGAGCAGGCACCAGAAACCACACACCAAGGATTTGACTCCTGTGGTGACAGTGTGGGATTCAAGTCCCAGCAATCAAATTCTTAGAGCACTCCTAAAATGGATGAAAAGGCAGCATATACAGTTTACATGAAAAAAGGAAGGGAGGAATTATTGTTCATTTATGGTCTGCTTAAAATCCAAAAGATTCTTTTTAAATCAAATTGCTTAATTTTTAACTGCTGATATTTTAAGTTTATTTTCCCATATCTATTCTTTCCCCAAAAAGAAAGTGCTTAGTTCTCTGGTAGAGGAGCTTAAAAAAAAATTTTTTTAAATGATTACATCTAAACAAATGATCTCTTTAAAAAGCATTTAGATTAAGAGATTGAAAAAAAAAAAAAATGAGGTGACTAATGCCGGCGGGAGGAAGAGCCGTGGACCACTGCTCCTCCTCAGGCCACGAGACAGGTGTCTCTGCTGTTTGTAGCCTCACCACAGAGTTTACTAAAATCAACAATGTTAAATATTCAGCTTCACGAACTCTGTAAAAATGAGTTGTTGTGACCTACAAAAAAAAGGTATATACATATTTTACATAATACAATATCTTAAAGGTCATATTTACAAAAAAAAAAAACTTATTCACAGAAACACTGCAAAATTCTGATTCAGAATGCAGTACCTGGCCTTGGGTTTTCAGAAGTTTATTTTCAAAACGCATTATTGCTCTACCATATAGGCAAAGGGTGACACCAGCACTTTAAAAAAAAATAAATCATAGTTCTTGTCCAATAGAATAGTGTGGACAAAACCAGGAATGTGGCTCCTCATTCCTCAAGACCTCAGGAATATTGCATTTATCCATTACTTTTTCAATAAAGTGCACTCAGCTGCACGTTAGCATATGAAAAATTTGCCACTGCTGCAATTAAATACTGTCAGCTCATGTTCCCTTCTGCACAGCCATTTATCATACACGACAAATCCTGGAGGTGAAGTGTTACAGTACATTAGGGCCAAATGAACATCTTCATCAGGAAAAGGCCTAGGACAATAAAAGGGACAGAGCAACTCAACACCATCAGTAAAGGACAAGGATTCAAATGACAACTCCACTGGACAAAGGGTCAACACAAAACTGCTTGGTGGTGACAAAAACACTTAATAACTGGGACTATGCTTTGTCCAATACTGCCATTAAAAAAAAAAAAACAGGTGTTCTGGTGGTCCCTGGTTTCTCCAATGCTCTCTGGTCCACTTACATCTATTTGAAAGACTGGCTAGCAAGGCAGAAGGAAGTGACACAGGAGTTCTGTAATAAACACTCCATATCTCCAGATTCACATCCCTAGGAGGCAGAATGCTAAAAACATTTGTTTTGAATACCATGATATACAGAAGTGGGGGAGCGGGGGAGGGACAGGTAGATGTCGCACTTCAGCTTCAGATCCAGTCCTGCCCAAGTAACATCACTTGGAATAGCCCTGCGGAGATCAAAGCTGGTCCTTGCTTCAAAGCTGGACACCTGGACAATGATTCTTTACCTCCGGATTATCCTAGTGCAGTGTCATTTGTACAGTGATTTCCTCAGAGGTCCAGGTTTGGAGACATCAGCAATATTTCTGTCAGCAACCAGAAGGAAACATGAGTAAAACATCTGCTCAACAAAACATGAGAAAGACCTATATTTACACTCAGGGCTTGTCATGTGGCTCTGACAGGTTCAGACTCCTTTGGACCTAAAGGGCCAAAATTTTGGCAAGGCATTCAAACATTTTTTAATTTGTTTTGTTTTCGTGGATTGAACCCTGGGATGCTCTACCACTGAGCACTGAACTACACCTCCAGCCCTTTTTATTTTTTATTTTGAGACAGGCCTTGCTAAGTTGCCAAGGCTGGCCCCAAACTTTCCAATCCTCCTGCCTCGACCTTCTGAGTCACTGAGATTACAGGCATGGGCCACTTACCTGGCTTCAGTTTCAATATTTTAAGTTATATGTCTAAACTGAAATCTACCTAGAACCTTTAGATTATAGTTGAGGCTTTGGTTCTCTACAAAGAACAAGAAAAACTGAAAAAAGTAAGAAAGAGATCCTCATACCTGATCAGGACCCATGGGCATGCCAGACATGGGCATGGAATTCATGTTCATCTGTCCCAGGTGACCACTACCGCCATTCATGTGCACCATGCTGTATGCTGCAGGATTCCCCTGGTGCGCAAACTGCTGCTGGGGAAATGAGCTGGAAAGAAAGGATGACATTATCCAGAGTCATTTTAGAACACAGGGCACACACATTATATCATGATTTTGTCATGTATCTCTATACTTAAGCACAAAGAGAACGGCTAACAGCTGGCCTTCCATTTTTCACAGTTGTCTGTCCTCAATACCTTAATAGATATCTACCTGTTATAAAGGATTCTCAAAACAGACAACCTATTTTTTAATATGAATGTAGGCCTTTTGCTCTCTCCATCCAAACAAGGGTGACAAAAATAGAGGTTTATTTCCTGGATTCTTTCTTTTTTTTTTGTTACCGGGGATGGAACTCAGAGGCACTTGACCACTAAGCCACACCCCCAGCCCTATTTTGTATTTTATTTGGAGACAGGGTCTCACTGACTTGCTTAGTGGCTCCCTGGTGCTAAGGCTGGCTTTGAACTCATGATCCTCCTGTCTCAGCCTCCCAAGCAGCTGGGATTACAGGCAGGCGTCACCACACCCAGCTATTTCCTGGATTTCTGGAAGTAGAATATAAGTGACTTTAAAGTCACTATTGTTTACCTGTTCCTGGCCACATTTCCTGATGGCCAGCCCTTCATTTCTGAGGACTGATACAATGCTGTCTGAGGATGCTGCATCATGGGATTCTGAGAGGGGCCCATTCTTGATGATATCATTGCATTAGGAGGACTGGACACTCGACCAAAAGCTGGATCTGGTTGTTGTCCCATTCCTTAAAAGAAAAAGAAAATTACAATGTTCAAATGCTACCTCCTTGGAATCCCATTTTCTATAGTAATTTTATGTTCATTTTTAGAAAAGGTATGGGAGGAGGTGATAAGTACAGAATATCGAGTCCTACAAGAGGCTGCCTTCCAAGTATTCTTGCTTTTGCAACAAGATGACCACAGAATCATGGGCTCTCTGCAGAAAGGCAGACCATCTAGATCACTTGAAAGGTGTTGCTTCAGTATCCTCTCTAAATAAAAGGAACTCCAAAAACTCTACTCACATCACTCTGTCCCCCTTTAGAGGTCAGGGAAGCCACTGTCCCCAGAGGGTAGGGGTGCATCCTGAAATGTAAACCCCTCCAAGATACCTGTTCCCCTACCATGTTCCTGGAACCTTGCAAAGGCTGAACTAAAGCAGTTCATCTACATTATTTCAATTAATAGTAAAGGCAAGTCACTGAGGAAAGGAACTTAAAAGTCCACACAGCACATTCCTCTCACTGACTGGGACAAACTTTCAGAGATGACGGGATTCTATTATACGGAGACATGTGAGAATGGATGGGGGAAGGATTTTGTAGTCTTTCTCCCAAATGAAGAGAGAGGGAGGTGAAAAAAGCAAGACCTGGGAAACACTACGAGAGAATACATTTGCCTCAGTAAACTGGACACTGTGGCCAACATTCTTATTCTCTGTTATTTTTAATTAATTTCACTTTTCTTGGGAAGTAACAGCATTTGTTTTTCCTGAGCAACGGCTCTAGGGAACTTTAGGTGCTTGGTCATGTTATTCTGGGGAAGGCACACTTTCTTTGTCAAAATTACCATAATTTGGTGGATATGGAAATTGCTGTGGTGGAGCTTGTGGCATGGCAGGTCCTGCCAAAACCCCATCCATGCTGGGGGAAGCAGTCACATTTGGGGGTGGGCTGAAGGCCTGGGTCTGCTGCTGCTGCTGCTGCTGCTGCTGCTGCTGCTGCTGCTGCATCATCATCGCCACCCTCTGCTGTCGGAAGTGGTGAGTTAGCAGCTCTCTGCTGCGTTGGGCAACCATCTGGGCATTCAGAAAACCCTGCTGAAAGCCAAGAACAAATGCAATTACCCATGTGCAGCAGGACATGGATGTTCCATAGACACAATACAGTAGGTACCAAAGAGAAATACCTGAGACCTTTCTTCATAATTAAAGGGAAGAGAGAATACACAGTTTTTTGTTTGTTTGTTTAAGGCTTTCTTAGCTGGGTACAGTAGTCATGCCTACAGTCCCAGCGCCCAGGAGGCCAAGTCAAGAGGGCTCACTTAAGCTAAGGAATTTGAGGTCAGCCTGGGCAAAACAGAAAAAAAGACAGACAGACAGACAGAGAGCAGAACTGAGTATGTGTTAGGGCAGTGGTAAAAATGAAACAAGAAGGGAAGCCCCTAAAGGGGGGGAAAAAAAGGGACAAGTTTAGGGACCGGGGTTGTGGCTCAGCAGTAGAGCACTCGCCTAGTACGTGCAAGGCCCTGGAGTGATCCTCAGCATAAAACTAAATAAATAAAGATATTGTGTCCAACTACAACTAAAAAATAAATATTTTAAAAGGGGGCAGGTTTATACTCCAATAAGCAGGGGTCTTAGAAGGTCTCGTTGTTTTCTTTAACCTCCTAAAAGAAGAGGTAGAGGACAAGGAGTAAGTTAAGGTGCTAGACAATCATAACTAAGGTATTGATTTAAGCTCTACCAACTGAGAAAAATCATCTCCAAAAGGCCAACTTTTATCATTTATTTCGAAGGCAACCTAGCTCAACTTATACAGGACACTGATTATCAAGAAAATATAAGTATCTGTACTTCCAAGTAGGCAAAAGATGTTAAAAATTAGGCATTTCAATTTTTAAAAAATATATGAGTAGTACTTGCAACCACAGTAAAGGACTGTCATACATCTACCTCACATTAAGAGAACACCTTGATGCTGCCTCTACTCCTGCTGGAGGTACAGAGGAATTTTCTCCTCAGCAAGGGAAACAGGGTATCTTCTTACCCAGTGAGTATGTGGTTTCATAATCCAAGAACAGAAACATTCATGGGTTACTACTAGCTAACTGATAGTTTCTCTCAAAAAAACAGCAATTGATCACAAGGGAAATTTGCTTTAAAAAACAAAACAATTCATCAATGGTTTTTAAGGTAACCCACTCTCCTCATTTCTCCCATCACCAGCAAGTCAGAAGAGTTAAAAATGAAAAAAGGAAAAACTGAAATGGAACTGTGGAATGGATTCTTCTGCAAGAAAACCAAAATTACTCTCCTTGCTTAAGGAACACTGAGAGCCAGCATAAGCTAGCCAGTGTTGGAAAGTGGCTCGTCCTCCCAGGGAGCTCACCTGGGGCTGCATCATGGGCCTGATTGCTGCAGCAGCAGTGGCGGCGGCAGCAGCAGCAGCAGCGGAGTTTTCCATTTTCATTTCAAGCACCTGCCGGCTCTGATTCAAGAACTGAGAAGAGACTGGTGGTTAGCATGCACAAGGAAAGGGTGATGAGCCCCAGGGTTTCAAACCCTCAGCACCACCCAGTGAGGTCACAGGGATAACTGCAAACCCACTGTTCTGGTTAAGTCACATCTGAACTGAGCTCATACTACTTTCACACTGCAAAAAAATTAATGCTAAAAAGTTCTTGCCTGGCCTGTGAATCTTTACCACCCGGCACTGAGAGAGAGAAGCACAAATGTGCAGTTTAAAGAGCACCTCGAACAGGTACTCAGGATTTATAGTCAGGTTTTCCCAGGGATTACTGAGGCACCTGAGGAAAGAGCTTTAACTTGGTCAGAGTAATACTGAATAAATTCCTCCTCCAGTATCTTATCCTAAGCACCTTCTTTTTTTGGTGGTGGGGTAGGGTTACCAGGGATTGAACTTGAGGGCACTCAACCACTGAGCCACATCCCCAGCTGTTTTTTTGTATTTTACTTAGAGACAGGGTCTCACTGAGTTGCTTAGCGCTTTGCCACTGCTGAGGCTTGCTTTGAATTCACGATCCTCCTATCCAGCCTCAAGAGCTGCTGGGATTACAGGCGTGAGCCACCACACCCAGTCTAAGAACCTTGTAGTGGAAAGAAATCATAAAAAGCAAAATGATCAGCCTCAGCAACTTAGTGAGGCTCTAAGAAACTTAGGGAAACCCTGTCTCAAAATAAATGATAATTAGTGTTTAAAAGGTTCTGGGAAGGGACTGGGGTTGTGGCTTAGTGGTAGAGTATGTGAGGCCTTGGGTTCAATCCTCAGCACCACATAAAAATAAAATGAATAAAATAAAGCTATTAAAGGGAGGTAGGGGAGCTGGGTTTGGTTTGGTTCAGTGGTTAAGTGCCCTGGAGTTCAATACCTGGTTCCCAAAGGGGGAGGGGGCAAAATGATACCATGAACTCCTGAACTTAGAAATATTACCTATTTATATGTTTTAGTTCTGCCACATTTAATAACTCAGCACTTTAAGACACAAGCTTTATAGAAATAATTATATTTTTAAATGATTAGAGAACCAGGTGCGGTTACACACACCAATAATCCAAGCAACTCAGGAGGCTGAGGCAGAAGGATTGCAAGAAGGTCATTTCCAGCCTGGGTAACCTAGCAAGATCTACAGCAACTTAGGAAGACTCTGTCTCAAAATTAACAAAAATCAGGAGGAGAGGAGAGATGAAGCTTGATGGTGGAGTGTTCCTGGGTTCAGTTCCCAGTACTGGGATGAGGGGACACAACAGAACTCCCATTAGTTGGTGACTGAGGAAACAATGGGAAAACCAAAGTTTTCTCTTGGAATTCTCGAAGAGAGTTCCAGTTTTATAGACATCTAGAAGCACGGGTTCTATTTTAAAAATGATGAAATTAAGAAGGTTTTTGGTTTTTAGTATTATAGGTCTTAATTTTTTAAAAAGGATCTATTAGGCTATAAAGACATTAAGAAGCACCGCCCCAACAGCAATCATTTCTGACATTTTTACTCTTTAACCTATACAATGGAAATGCATTCAATTCTAACAGAATCACTCCTTAACAAGGAGCCATCTGCACAAATATAATCTTACCAAAAAAAAAAAAAAAAAAAAAGTGAAACCAAGGTCATTTCCCTAGTTGGTGAAGGTCAGAAAGCCAGGGTAAGAATTCTGAGGACAAAGCCTGAAAACAAATTAAACAAGGTGAGGCCAAAGGAAAGCCACTTGGGGCTGAAGCCAAGCATAGACTGATTACCTGCTGGCCCTGCAGCCTCTGCTGAAGCTGCATTCTAAGTTGCTTGGGAGTGTTTGTCCGGGGTCTCATGATGTTGGCCCTGGGGTGCATTCCTTGGAGAGGGAAACTGCCTTGCTGGTTCATCTGAGTCATCATAGAGTTAAAAGACGGCGATTGTCCCTGAAGATTAAAGCCTCCTTGCACTGGAGGCCCCTGTGCTGGATATGTCTGCCCATACAAAGCTGCCTTCTGATCCATCAGTACTGCTGCTTCTTGGCCTTGGAAGGCATCTTGTTTGGGCTCCAAAGCTTGTCCCTTAAACAGACATATAACAATGAATTACACCTGGGAAAGCCACAAAAATCAAATGCTCTCAAGAAGGTGAAAAATAAAGCCAACATGTTTCAGAATTCTAAAAGCAAAGTCAAGTTTGCTCTTATTGTCTAAAGTTCTATGAGAATACAAACTATACCCCCTCTTGCAGGGACTGTATCCTAGGACCTAACAATTTCACACCAATCCACACTCAAACATTTTTAGTCAAAGAGCCACAATGTATTAAATACTTTAAAAAAAAAAAAAAATCACTCATCAATGACTCCCCATGTAATTTGTTCAGAAATATTTTTGAAGGTAATGTGGTAATTTTGGTAATGGCAGATGAAAATCAAAAAACACTTATGCCCTTAAAACCTAACCATCAGGGGCTGGGGATGTGGCTCAAGCGGTAGCGTGCTCGCCTGGCATGCATGCGGCCCGGGTTCGATCCTCAGCACCACATACCAACAAAGATGTTGTGTCTGCCGAGAACTAAAAAATAAATATTAAAAATTCTCTCTCCCTCCTCTCTCACTCTCTCTTTAAAAAAAAAAAAAAAAAAACCTAACCATCACTACTGGGGTTGGCAGAGGCCCATCTGTTCAAGTATTTATTAAATATTTGTTAAGTGCCAGTCAACACTTCTCAATATCCTAAGGACATGAAAAAAATGATATCCAGCATGTGATAGGAAAAGTAAAAACCATTCTGAAGGGTCAGCGTGCCGTGCAGGGGCAGAGAAGCCCGTCAGGCACCACACACACCTTCATCTTTTCAAGGACACAGAAGGCCTAACCTGCAGCCAACAGCCTTGACAAGCTTCAGCTTAAGCACAGCCAGGCCCACTATACCCTGCAATACGGCCCTTGTTCTCCTCCACTCCCTGGCCTTCCTTTGGTGAACTCCTAGCACTCCTCCAGGGTCCTGTCCCTGTCTCCTCTGCTCTTCATACACTTCTTACCTAGGTGCTCTCAGCCACTGAAGAAAACCATCAAATTTTTGTCTCCAGCCCAACACCTCCAAACATTTAATAATACTTACCCAACACCTCCAAATAGTTATGCAAATACATACTTAACATCTTTACACAGATGCCTCAGGCATCTCAAATCTAACATGAAGAAAATAGAAGTCATGCTGCCCACAGCTAGCCCTTTCCCTAAAGCAACATGCTTTCTTTGAACCTTCCCTCCATCACAATGCATCGTGTGACCATGCACCACCCTGGAACTCCAAACCACCAACCTGGATTCCTCAGTCCTCCTCTCCACACAGTCTACCAAATCCTGTCCACTTTTCCTTGACAGCATGTTGTATGTCCTTCCTCCTCTACATTGCCCCACCCCCTGTTTTTTTTAATACTTTTTAGTTGACAATGGACCTTTATTTTATTTATGTATATGTGGTGCTGAGAATTGAACCCAGCGCCTCACACATGCTAGGCAAGCACTCTGCCCCTGAGCCCCAGCCCCGGCCCTTCCTCTACATTCCTTTGTGCAGACCTTTTCCAATACTTTTTAGAAGCGTTGCAGTACCCGACATCGGTGCTTCTACTCTATCCCATCAGACCGGCTCCCTTCTCTGGAAAGACACCAGATGTCTCTTAATTAAGTAAATCACACTTGAAATCAACACCTCTGTCCTGCTAACTCTACTAAAATGGCACTGAAGAATTTGAGAGGTCACATTTAGCCACAAAATAAGGAAACAACATAACCAAATATTTCAACAGGTTTTGGGAAGACAGAGTGTGAACAGAGCAGAGAAACTTAGACCTAACGTGCCTAAAGAGGGAAAACAGTGAGCATAAGAAGCCCAGGAACAAATGGAGACTCCACCAGGCATTAGAGAGGATGAGACAGTTCAAACAGGCAGCTGCTTAGGAGCCTGGTATAGATGAGGGGATCAGCTCCTCCATGCCTATCCCTACACTCCTCAAGTGGTTCTTTCTTCTACCCGCCAAGCAGCCCCCCACCCACCCAGGGCTGGGTTCAGGGACACAAGCACAACAAAGGGCAGGGGGAAGCAGAGGCTGAAAACAGGAATTTAGTTCTATTTTCCTATTTGTACTTTGTAATAAATTTTATATACTATAAGATCATCCACTGGCCTCCTAGTCCAGCTACCAAATGCAATGGACAATAAAAGATTTCCAATTAAGAAGAAAGTGTAAAGGTGGTGGGTGGGGGGATCCCCAACACAACAAACAACAAACAAAAAACATACACAGTGAAACCTGAACTAAACTTACATTGCAACAATACATCTATCTTCACATTTAGTTAACTAATTAATTCTCTATTTTTCCACAGATGGATTAGCCTGTTTGGTCACAAACAACTGCCCAAAAGAACACTATTACTCAAAACTCCACCAGAAGTCAGAGCATGCAATACCGGGTATATATACTCTTTCTAAAATCCACACATTCCTGAATTCCAAAGCATATTTGACCCCAAGATTCTCAGTTAAGGGGCTATGAGTACGTAATCACTGTGACATCAGGAATTCAAAAGATACAGATTGAAGTTAATAAAGAAATAGCTGCAAAAATATGTTACTAAGAAATATGACAAAATAAAGAAGTAAGTTTGTACAACTTCAGAAGAGGGCAAGTAAACTGTGTACATATACTTATATACATATAATTATATTTTTAAGTTACGAGAATGTAGATTCTTTTAATTAATTTTTATTTTTAGGAAAATAAACAAGGAAAGCAGGTCTCATCACCACCCTGCTTAAAAGGCTTTCCTGGCTTTGCTATGCAGCAGAGCGTTCCCAGACCCCTTCCTGGCTTTATGGAACCTGGCACCTCCTGCCTCTCCATCATCATCACTTCCTCTCTGATCCTACTTTCAGTCCCTTTCTGAAACCCCAAGTTCTTGACTGCCAAAGGACTTCTGAACTTGCTGTTCCTCTTCTGGATCCTCTTCCTATAGCACTTTGCACAACTGGTTCCTTCTTATCCATCAGGTGTCAATTTAAATGTCACTGCCCAAAAAGAGCTACTCTGAATTTGAAAACAAACTAAATAACAAAATTAAAATCAGCCCTCACCAAAGAGGGAACTAAAGCAAACTGTAACATTTGCTGCCCACCATTCTGAGTATCACACCACATATCCTTAGTTTGGAAAAAGATCAGAATTCAGTTTCTAATGAACGCACACTGCCTTTGCACCATCAAAAGTCAAAAAAAATTGAGAGCTGCCCCATTGTGAGTCAGGTAATGAGTATTGTATAAAGAACTCTTGTAAACCAACAAGTTAAAAACCTAGCCAAAAACTATGAAAACATATACACAATGGCCAATAAACACAAAAGATATTTCATCTTGCAAAACAATGAATTACAATTTAAAACAATCCTTTTTTATCTTATCAGACTGGCAAAGATTTAAGAAAATAATCATAGTTTAGGGGTATAGCTCAGTGGTAGAGCACTTGCCTAGCATGTAGGAGGCCTGGGGTTTGATTGCCTACACTATAAAATATAATTAAAAAAATCATAGTAAACATGCTCAGTATTTGTTTAGTCACTTGCTCATTCTGTGTTCCTTCACTTATCAGAACCACACCAGCAGAGTACTGATGAAGAACTCCTATCACACTGTTAGAGGAAAGGAGCTAGTATTGTCTGCTATAAAGCAACCTGAAAATAAGGAGTAAAACCTTTAAAATATGTAGTCTCTTACCCACTAATCCTTTCTTAGACTGTAACTAAGGAAGTAGAATCAGTGAATGAGAACTGGGTAATTCATAGAATTATTTATGATATAGAATACTAAGAACAATTTAATATTTCACTGATAGAAGACTGATTAAATAGTGTTCAAAATTTTTAAATTTGGCCATTAAAATTAAAGATGTATATGTTAAAAATATGACTGACAATGATGCTTTTCATAAAGCAAAACTGATTACAAAAGCATTTTGAAGTCTCTCATTTAAAAAAAACGTACACTCATGAATATTTTCATGTATACCTTTTTAAAATCTGAAAGCACTATAAGCCAGCAAGTTACTAATGATTCTCCCTGTGCCACTATTAGCTTTTTTCAACATACTTTTTGCAATTATCAAAATTTTACTTACCAATCACTAATTTCAACATCAGGACAAAGAAAGCAATTTCCAATTTAAATTACCATTTTAAATGACAGTTCCAGCTTTTTGCAGGGCGGGGGTGCTGGTAATTGAACCCAGGGGCACTTAACCACTGAGCCATACATCCACAACCCTTTTTTCATATTTTATTTAGAGACAGGGTCTCACTGAGTTGCTTAGGGCCTCACCAAGTTGCTGAGGCTATCTTTGCACTCACAATCCTTCTGCCTCGGCCTCCCAAGCCACTGCAATTACAGGTATGCATCACCATGCCTGGCTCAAGCTTCTTGATCTTCGGGTATCACTCACATACCCCTAGTCGAAGTTTGACGTGCTCTTCAGTGCCAGAATCAGATGTCATTGATATCCCGGAAGCATATTGTCACAACTGCTCAGTGTTTTCCATTAACCTTTTTAAAAGTTCTGTAAGCCAGGCATGGTGACCATACCTGTAATCCCAGTTACTCAAAAAGCTGAGGAGGATCTTGAGCTCAAGGCCAGCCTCAGTAACTTAGTAAAACCTTGTCTCAAAATATAAAAAGGTGGGCTGGGGATATAGCTCAGTTGGTAGAGTGCTTTCCTTGCATGCACAAGGCTCTGGGTTCAATCCCCTGCACCACAATAATTTATATATATATATATATATATATATATATATATATATATATATATAGAAATAAATAGGGTGGGACCAGGGCTGGGGCTCAGTGGTAGAGCGGTCGCCTAGAGAGTACTTGGTTCCAGCCTCAACACCACATAAAGATAGATAGATAGATAGAGGGGCTGGGGATGTGGCTCAAGCGGTAGCGAGCTCTCCTGGCACGCATGCGGCCCGGGTTCGATCCTCAGCACCACATACAAACAAAGAACTAAAAAAAAATAAATATTAAAAATTTTTTTAAAAAAGATAGATAGATAGATAGATAGATAGATAGATAGATAGATAGATAGGGCTGGGAATCTAGTTCAGTGATAAAGCACCTCTAGGTTAAATCATCAGTACAAAAATTTTAAAAAATTAAAAAAATAAAAGTTTCTGACAATGTTTCCAACATTATTGTTCAATTCCTTATATACAAATCTGTCTCCCTGACAAAAGAATGAGAAAGCCCTGAGGTCTCCTGCTTATTCTTAAATGCACAGATACCTTTTAAAATAAAAATAGTCACTAAAAAATTTGCTTGTTTCAAAAACAGATTTGTGAATGGCGTATTTTCATACAGTCAGGTATGTAAAAAGGAATAGGAGAGGATGATGTTGGAAGACTCATGGTTTACCAATGCAAATGTATTCTGTACAACCAACATAAAGACAGCTTGCTTCTCAGCATACTCACTGGTTAACTAAGTTGAGAAGAAAAGTGGGTGTAAAAATGAGACCTCTTGGCTGGGCTTGAAGGCACACGCCTGTAATCCTGGCAAGTCGGGAGGCCAAGGCAGAATGATCACAAGTTCCCTGTCAGCCTCAGCAATTTGGCAAGGCCTTAAGCAACTTAGCAAAACCCTGTCACAAAATAAAAAGTGCTGGAGATGTGACTCAGTGGTTAACTGCCCCTAGGTTCAATCACTAATGACAGAGAGAGAGCAAGAGACTGACTACAAGTAGCATCTAAAAAACCATATAGTAGGGTTTTTCTTTTGTTGATGGACCTTTATTTTATTTATATGTGGTGCTAAGAATCAAACCCAGTGCCTCACACATACTAGGCAAGTGCTCTGCCACTGAGCCACAACCCCAGCCCTACATAGTAGTTTTATTGGATCGTTTCTATAGTTGTCTAAAATATAAATCTTTTTTAAAAAGTAGGTTGTTAGAAATAACAATACAATCATAAAGTACATATTCTAAATTTAATGCTGCTATCCACACATATAGTAATGTAACAAAAGTAGTAAGAAAGACACAAGCATTCCTGTGCTTGGCTTCATGCGTGTGCACCACACGCACTCTCCTATTTCCATATTAATGCAACTTACCTGATTTACAAGTTCAGGGATGCCCAAAGCTCTGTCAATTTCCTCCAGGCCTGTGGCATCTGTATTACTCAGGAGTGTGTGTAGCTGGTCCAACAATGCTCTCTCATCACTCTGGCCTTCTGGGTTAGAAGGTGGCCCAAGGAGATCATCCAGGGAATTCCTGAGAAGAGGTCTAGAAAAAGACTTGCAATCAATTTTAATGTTGTTGGGCGGGAGGTGTAGCACAGTAGTAGAGCACTTGTTCAGTATGTTTTCAGTCCTGGGTTTGATCCCCAGAACACAAACCATATTAAAGGTGTTATTTCTATTTTTAAAAATAATGACAGTGGGGCCAGGTATGGTGGCGCACACCTGTAATCCCAGAGGCTTGGAAGGTTGAGGCAGCCTCAGCAAAAAGCAAGGCACTAAGCAACTCAGTGAGACCCTGTCTCCAAATAAAATACAAAATAGGGCTGGTGATGTGGCTCAGTGGTCGAGAGTCTCTGAGTTCAATCCCCAGTACCAATAATAATAATAATAATAATAATAATAATAATAATAATACTAAGAACAACAACAACAACAGTAGGGCTGGGGATATAACTCAGTAGGTAGAGTGCTTGCCTCGCATGTACAAGGCCCTGGGTTCAATCCCCAGCACCACAAAAAATAAAATAAAAATAATTATACTAACCATGCATAATATTTCAATATATTTTTAACATATAATAACTCCCATATACTACAAGTACAAATAAACCAAGCAATAGAGAACAGCAAATGGCCTCAATTTATATTTAAGGCCCACCACATATATCTTTTGTGTATGTGTGTGTGTGTGTGTGTGTGTGCGCGCGCGCGCGTGCGCGCGCATGCGCTCACGTGTGTGGTACTGGGGACTGAACCCAGGGCCTTGTGCGTACAAGGCAACTGAGCTATATCCCTAGCCCCCACCACATGTATCTTATACCCACAATCCCACCACCCAAGTGAAACTGCAAAACCCTAGGTATTTGGGAGATAGGAGAAATGGGGTGAGAGGGGTTGGAGAGAATGGAGAGGGAGCAGTTTTCAAGACAAGAGTGGAGGTGGTAGTCATCAGTAATGATACTTGAAAATTAGGGGAATCAAAACAAAAAAAACGAAAAGAAAACTGAGGAAATCAATAAACAACAAAGGAAAAGATCAAAATATTGATCTATATAACTATGGTGTAGAGAACTGCTAAGATAACTTCGTTATACTTGCCCACAAGGCTTGGTCAGAAGTATGACACAAGCCCACACCCCCACAGTGAGGTGTGTGACTATTATCCAGCACGTGGAGGGCATGAAGTCAGGCATTAAGTAAGCCACATCTTTCTTTTACAAAACTATAGAAGAGCACAGTAGTTCACTTTACCATTATCCCTGAAATGTTTTAGAAAAATCATTAGCCATTGCTTAAAAATCAATTTTCAGAAAAACTTGAGGCTTACTCTCTGAACACTATGTAAAAACATATTTATCTTGTCAAACTGTGGCTAATTTATCCTCCTCCTCATGAGATTATCATTATGAAAGACAATCATCTCATAGAGAGGCTCTCAGAAGTCTGACTGCTGAGAAGTCCTGACAGCAGGACAGGGCACTTCTGGCTCCTCCCCTTCCCTCGAAGGCCTCTGCTTGCTACTTCAAATGGATGGCAACCAACCACCTTACTTAAGAGAATTTTTCACCTTCTCTCTCAGAATTGTTCCAATGTTGACTCTTTTCTAGATAATCCAATGTGGATCTTCTTCAGAGTTACAAAACAAAGGCTCACCTATTTTGAGGCACATGGGGCCCTTGTTCCATGGACAGCATGCCATCTGGCCAGGAACCTGGTTGATTAGCTGGTGTTGCTTGGCCATAGGGATTGACCCCCATTCCCATGGGAATCTCACCAGGCCCTGGGGGAACAAAACGAAAGTACAAATTTTCCAATAAGCCAGTAGTAAAATCACGCTAAAACACCTTTTTTATTTTTAAATGAAGGAGACACTTACTTATTTGAAGCATATGCTGTTGCTGTTGCTGCTGCTGCTGCTGCAACATTGGCCTTGCACCTGGTATACTATTAGACCGAAGAGGCAAAGTGGGCACAGAGCCCCCCATTGCAGGTCTGGGTAAAGAAGCACTGTAATCTCCTGGTCTTCCCATGGAGTTAGAACTCATAGGTTCCACTCTACTGGCCTTTGAGTTTGGTAAGCCCCACTCTGGAGAAGGAGTCTGGTTCAGTGTCACATTTCTGTTTGGTCCACCTGAAACAGGTAGAAAATTATTAGGATTTTTCCACAGCATAACACAATCCTCCTTATATCATACTGCTATAGCTATTTAGATACAACACTGGCTTTAACATCATAAGAACAGGACAAGGTAACTATGAAGACATTACATGCTAGAAAAATGTCAGACCAAAAGATTCTTCAAGAGTTTAAATAAACAAGACATAAAATATACAAAGGATACTCATGAAAGTAACACGTTAATATTATAAAACTTGTTAATCAATCCCAATTATCTACATGACTTTAAGTATTTTAAATTTGCTTTTCCCAAAAGAAATTTTTAGTCCTAAATACTAATTATGAATAACCTACCCATATTTGAGCCATAATTTTCCTGACTATCCATCATCCTTGGATTCCCACCCAGCACAGGCTGCTTTGCTAGCATGGGGAAAGCACTGATATTCTTTATTGGAGGACTTGAGCCAACAGAAACAGGGCTATCTAGAGATGCTGCACGGTTATACGGAGGACGAGCAGACTGCACAGACTGTGGGCTTCTCAAACCTACTGGGAACACATAAGCACAACACGTAAATATCCCTTGCTAATTTAATACATAAATAATCAAGTATAACATATAAACATACCCATCCCCACAAACACAAATGTCTTTCTCACAAAAGCAAACACTATCTTCCTTTAGAAGATAAACACTATATTTAAAAAAAAAAAAAAAAAAGCCTGTATTCCAAATAAAGTAGAAACCACAACTTCAATGTTGGCCCAAGAGCTGGGCACTCTTTATATATAGCCTGATATGGTCATTCATATTCTGCTTTACTCTATATTGAAGAATTTGCAAGTCTGAGGTTAGCTGAGAGATAGAATGCATGCTCAGCAGGCATGAGGCCCTGGGAACAACCATTTGACCCAGCTACCCTACTCTTTGGTTTATACCCCTAAAGGACTTAAAATCAACATACTACAATAAAAGACTTAAAATCAGCATACTACAGTGGCGCAACCACATCAATGTTTATAGCAGCTCAATTCACAACAGCTAAACTATGGAACTACTGTAGATGCCCTTCAACAGAGGAATGAATAAAGAAAATGTGGTACACATACACAATGGAATATTACTCAACCTTAAAGAACAATGAAATTATGACATATGCAGGTAAATGGATGAAACTAGAGGATATCATGCTAAGTGAAATAAGACAATCCTAAAAAAAAAAAAAGCCAAATATTTTCTCTGATAAGCAGATACTGATCCATGGGGGTGGGGGGGGTGAAGAAACTGTTGGTTTCTGTACAGGGGAATGGGGGGAAGGGTGGGGCTATGGGAGTGAGAAGGACAGTAGAATGAGACAGATATTATTACACTACTGGAGTGACTCGGAGCACCATGTACAGCCAAAAGAATGAGAAGTTGTGTTCCATTTATGTATATATCAAAATGCATTCTATTGTCATGTATAACTAATTAGAACCAATAAAAAGAAAAAAGAAAAATCACAATAAGTAAATAAATAAATTGATGAATGAGTAAAACATACAGCAATAAGAAAGCACATAGGTAAGAATCCGAAAACGTCAAAAAAGAAAACTCTCCTGGTTAAATGACAAGATTTCTTAAATACCAAAGGACAGGTTTTAATCTACAATTTGGGTTGTTTTTCAATCCAATTCTCTGAGGCTTAAGGAAAACATATGCCATGGTACCAGCTACTCAAATGAATATCAAAGATGAACATTTTCTTATAAGTACCATGATTATTGGCATAATAATTACAAATTTTCTCAAAAAGAAAAACATGCAAAAAGCTTTTTAGAACTCATATATTATGAATCTGCATAAGAAACTGATACGTAGAGCATGTGTTCTGAAGTTATAAATGTTATTTACATCCTGGTCTTGGTGTGAGCATCCATACATATGCATCCATACATATATCCATACATAGTTCTTCCTTACCCAGAGAATTTGTTCCTTGGAACATTGGTTGCTTGGTCCCTAGATGACTGCCATTTGTGGATATGGGATTATTATAAAAGTCAGAACTAGTCAGATCACCCAGAATAGCATCTAGATTATCTAAGTCTCCAGATCCCTGAAAATAAAAATTTAAGAATTAACCTGTATGCAACACAAGATGTACAACTACAAATATATTCATCAGAAGAAAACACATGAGATAGGAGCAAATGAAATACAATAATTACCTGAAATTATTAGGCCCAGTTTAAAGGTTGTTTTCTTATGACTCTCCCACCCCTAATCTTCTTCCTTAAAATTATGAACAATTTGAACCACTGAGAAAAATTACTGATTTGGGATGTTCAATAGAGCATTGTTTTTCCCCTTAGGCTACGCATTTAATTTTCACACTGGAAGATATTTTCCAGCAGTCACTAGGAGAGAACTGATCCCCTTGGCTGACAGAGGTCTGCTCTACACATACCTTCTATAAACAAATATGATTAACAGTAAACACATAAACACATGCTTATGTTCAACAAGATAATTTTGGGCATGATCTTTAAAAAGGCTTTGGTCAATAAATCTGGTGAACAATGTTAAACAAAGTAAAATCCATACTCTAACCAGAAGACTTTGGCAAGTCTTGCCTTTGCTCAGGTTCATATTACACCTCCTAGAGCAAGGTTCCTCCAGTGAGGCTGGAAAATGTTGACCCAGAATATGATCATGTACATGAAACTTCAAAACTCTGATAAAAATCAAAACTCTTTGTTTTTTTCTGATTACATCTACCATACCATTGGGGGCCCAATCTGCTCATCTCAACACCTCAATGAAAAAAAAAAAAAAAATTTAATGGACAAATTTTCAAATTGTCCATTAAAAAATCAGTCATGATTTTGGGGTTGTGGCTCAGCAATAAAGTGCTTCCCTCAAACGTGCAAGACCCTGGGTTCAATCCTCAGAACCACATAAAAATATATGACTAAAATAAAGGCACTGTGTCCAACTACAGCTAAATATTAAATATTAAATAAATATTTTAAAAAGAATCAGTCACATTTCAGAAGAAACATATATTTCTCTGTTGCATCATAATATTTTACTGATGTCCAAAGAATTATAAAGAAATGAAAGCTCACTATTAACTTTCCTTAAATAAATCTTAAATTAGAAAATAAGGATTTGTATACAATACATTATATTTCTAACAGAGATGATAAGACAGATGACTGAGCTGGAATATAGGGAAAAAATAAAATTACCTCTTCACTTGTTTCTGTCTTAATTTTCGAGTCTTTTTCTTGACCTGAGCTAGGAATGGTGGAGCTGCTGCACTGACTCATTTTATTGTCCATTCCTTCTACCTGGGGCTGAGGTTCTTTAGAGAGCGCATCACTAGGATCATCCCTGTCCAGCAGGTATCTAAGAAGTGCATTGTTCTCCTTCTTCTTAGGACTTAGCTGCTCCTGCTTGACATTTCCTTCACCACAAGTAGTAGTACTGCTGGTATCTTTCCCAGTGGCTTCTGCAGTAATCTTGGCTACCTCAGCTGGTGAATTCCCATTCTGCAGCAACTTGTGCAAAATACGGTGTTTCTCTTGCAACAGTGACCCATGCATATTGGATGTGGAGGACACTCCTCCTGATGTTGAGGAGGAGACTCCAGAGGGGCTGGTGACACTAACAGAAGAGTCTTTACAACTTGAATCCAAAGGGGAGTTGGTCAAGGAAGAATGACCTCGGTCATCAGAAGAGCAGGTCAGTAACTGCAGTAACTTTTTATGACCTTTGCTTTCCAAAGGACCCCGTTGATTCTCTGACCCTTCACCACTGCTCTCCTTACTTTCTTTGTCATTGAGGTGATCTCTGCTATTTGACTGACACATTGAGCTCTCTACCGGATTTTGATCACAGTACAAACCCAGGGGACTCTTGGAATCTTGACTGGTCACTTTACTTGGTTGCGTTATATTCATATTGGGCGAGTTATCCAACTTGGGGCCTGGTGAAGACAGAGTAGATAAAAGGGAGGTGCCCACACCCTCACTGATGGCTTGCAGGGCACTGAGAGAGCTGCTAGAAAAGTTGTGGCTCCCAGTGCTGCCAGAAGACCCCATGGGAGAGTGCACACCTGGATTTGTTGGAGAAAAAACAAGAGGTGCTATCAGACTAAAACAAAAGGCTACGTCAAGGTTTCTATTATAAAACTAATTCGCTGTATAAGAATTGAAGTGGTATAGAGAGAAAAAAGAAAATGCTGAGATGGATACCTGCAACAGGAGAAAACTGGTGTGACGCCATCTTCGGGCTCCCACGATTTCGAGGAGAAATCATGATGCTCTGCTGGTTGGAGCCAAGACCTGGACTGCCATGTGGGGGGCTACCCATACTGAGCCCATAGTTATTATTCTGGTAGGAAGATGGTGACTGCACGCCTGGCCCAGGGGTCAATGAGGCTATGTTACCGGAAGCCCCATACCTCGTTCCACTTATCTGCCCTGTGGCGTTGGGATCTGTCAAGCCGTAGGCCCTGCTGCTCAGCATCTGTAATCCTTGGTTTGGTGACATATTCATGCCTCCTACTGAACTGCTGCATCCAGCTACAGGAGGTCTAATGCCTTGTCCCACAGGATTTGGGTTTGGTCTATACCCATTCTGTTCTCTGCAAAGAAACAGAATATCAAACTTTTACTAAAAAGTACAGGCATGCATTGAAGCCCTGAGTAAGATTTAGGGAAAGTAAAGTGTCCAGGAACATAACTTCTTTTAGGCACCACTCTATAGCTGGTGACAAATCCAATTTAGACACTGGTCACAAATTAACCTAGTAATATATTTTTTAATAAGCCAAAGAGTCTAAATAAATCATAGCACCATACCACTGTGAGGAAGCAACAGCTATGTTAATTGCAACCTCAGAGGCTTTACTAGAATTGCTACATATCCAGAGTTTACCTGGAAATACTTGCAAACTGCTCAAGATAATACTAAATGAACAACACAGGAAGGTTAACAACATCAGTAGATGTTGTTAAAGTGTACCTTCTAATTTGAAATTCATTTCTTAAAAGCAATGTAATATATTATCTTAGAAATGAAAGGTAATCAGCAGAGCACGGTGGCACACGACTATAATCCCAGCGGCTCAGGAGACTGTGACAGGAGAATTGCAAGTTCAAACCCAGCCTCAGCAATTGCACAATGCTAAGCAACTCAGTGAGCCCCTGTTTCTAAACAAACTACAAAATAGGGCTGGGGATGTGGCTCAGTGCTCAAGTGCCCCTGGTACCCAAAAAAAGAGAGAAAAAAAAAAAGAAAGGTAATCAGAGGTAATTGGGTTTTATGTGCTTTTATGCACCAGCCCTCCCACTCTACTTCTGACTAGGAAGTATTTAATTAGTAAACAATACTCATTTTTAGAATGGGATACTACACATATGTAATTTAATGTGTCACAGTATACCTAAAAAGAATAAAAATAACAAATGTTTTAAATACTCATTTTTACATAAAATATAACTCTAAAGGAAATAGAATCTACGAATCTAACTCACCTCACCAAATTCAATAGCCTGCCTGGTTTTTCTCTCATTAAATTTCCATTCTTCTTACAGTAATAATAAAGCATCCTGAAAACATGGTTGCATTTAACATGCAAATACTCGGTAATTCATCATTACCTCTGAAGAAAGTGGGTTGAGACAAAGCCATGACGGTCATTTGTCACAGGATTCCGAAAGAGCTTGCTTTTTGTTTGTGCAGTCACTATAGTTCCATCAGCCAACGAGAATCGATACACTGGGGTTTCCGCGTGGCCATGAATATAAGCTGTAGGAAAAATATACTATTACTACTAACTACAGTTGGCAAAACAAGTACACATAAGGAGAAGAGAGGAAGGAATTGTATATCTCAATGCAAAGGGTTTTAAACCAGTGAAAGAGGTTTTTTCCAGGTTAACCTCTATGTATGTAACAACTCTAGTAAAATTATCAACAAAATCTAAGTATGTTCAAGGATCACTTCTCTCCCCCACACCCACAAGATGACCGCCATGGTACATGTGTAGTGCTTTACATATACCCAACATAATGATGAGACCAAGAATCAGCCCCAAATGTCTTTACCTTCTTGATAGTGACGTTTCTGGGACCATGACTGGCCATCATTAAGACTGAAAAATCGCTGGATACACCTTCGGATTATATCTTCAAAACCAGGCCTCATGGAGGATCTCAGTGAATTTGTGTCTATATTGACCACCTTCCCTATTGTACAAAAAATAAAGTTTTAAATCCCACCCACAAGTATTTACCACTGCCTAGCCATCGATTAGCTCTAAAGAATGAAATACAAGATCTTTACTTTCTCTGGTCCAAGTTTCTGTTATGCATCTTTTCTCCTTAAGAGCACGGTCCTACAGGATACTCTCACATCGATCTACACATTCTGCTGTGGGGTATGATAATGTATTTGTCTTGATCCTGTTCCTGATGCAAAACTCCTAAAATTCTTGAATTTCTTACTAAAAGTCTTTATGAACATTTTAATGATTCATAAGGAGTTTCTCTGATCATCTGCATCTATTCTAATAAGGTGATTTAGTATAGTACTCCTAGATAGCCTTGGATTGGGGCTGGTCACTAACAGGACAAAGTGATTACAGGACTGGAAATTTCAACCACTTCCACTGATTCCCCAAGGGAGGTGGGGTGTGTTCTAAAAACAAAAAGATTTGTGGAGCTTCCAGTTTGGCAAATACATCAAGCTAAGGGGAAGATGTAGGTGTCTGGAGAGGGTATGGAAGCTCTCAGGGAGAATAAAACTTAATAAATCTGCAGAACAATGAAGTTGCATTTAAACAATTCAAACTAATTACCCAGGATGTCCAGAGCAAAAAATGGGTGATCAACTTCCATGACATGGATCTTGGTCAAGAAAAAAATGTGTTCCATGGTCAAAAATTGGGAGATTATGATTGAACCTCCTGTTGATGTCAAGACTACCTATACCTGCCTATCTATTCTGTGCAGGTTTTACTAAAAAATGCAATAATCAGAACAAAGAGACCTCTTACATTCACCACCGTATGACTACAAATCCTAAAAATGTGGAAATCATGACTAAAGAGATACAAATACTTGTAAGAAGTAGTTAATAAGTTGATTCCAAACTGTTCCGTTGATTCATTCTCTCTGTATGTGTAATAGAAAACATGCTGAAGAAAACCAAGTTTAAACTGAGAAAACTCACAGAAATTCATAGCGAAAGGTAGTTCTGGGAAAGCTACTAGAGGGGAGAAAGGTACTAATGCAAAATGAGCTAACAAAGATAAAACCAGTAGTCCAAGAATCTGGGAATCAAACCCAAGGCCTTTAGCATGCTAGGCTCTACCACTGAACTACACTCCCTATTCTTAAAATTCAGAGTTTTAATGGTGACTAAAGAACCTTGTGCTTGCTCTGGCAGCACCCATATTAAAGTTGAAATGACACAGAGAAGATTAGGATGGCCCCTGTGTGAGGATTACATTCAAATTTGTGAAGCATTCCATATTTAAAAAAAAAAAATCTTATTAGTGCAAAGGGATGGAGGAGACACGACTCTGAAGAAAAATCAAGTACATTACAGGAAACAGTAAATAACTGTGCCTTGTGTACACAAAATAGGAAAGATCTGTCCTCAAACACTTCCTCTGAGCTTAGCCCTGAGACACACATCAAACATAAAATAGAAGATCAGAAAGAGTTTTATTGAATGAAACACATCAGGGACAGAGGAGAAAATATCTCTGTAGGTAAAAAAAAAAAATTGTTGAGCGCCAACAAACCTGCTGTAAAACACAGAGTAACTGGAAGGCACCAATTATAATTTGCAAAGATGACTCTCAGTTCTAAATAATATTATCCAGACAAAAAGACTTGATTTTATTGTTTGGTGATTTCTAATTTTTATAATAAACGTATTTTGCTTTTATAATAAAAGAAAGCACTAGATAATTTTTAAAGATGCTACTAAGTTATTTAGAGAGAAAATTAAATCAGCCAAATCCTAAGAAGTGTAGAGAAAGGCCCACTCTAAAATAACACAAAAATGCCTGTTACCATATTTATTAGAAGGCAAGTAAATACAGAGAAATTTTTCCAATATAAATTAATATCCATTGATGTAAACAAATTGACAATTCAAAACACAAATTTCATTTTTGCTACTTCTTTCACTTGTGATAATCAATACCAAGCATCCTCAAGACAACTGGGCATGACATAAGGAGATCAAGTGACTGTAAAAATAACTAAATTTATAAAATATGATATGTGCATTACATGTGTGTACATAGATATATGATACACACACACCTATAATAGCCAGAGCTATGCTTTGTTTAAACTACTCCACTTGATTAAATCATTTATTGAGGGTTCACAATCGGTATATAAAATCAGTGTTACACAAAGCCAAAACTATAGACTTTTAAGTCAAGCAGACACAGTGCAAATTCTCTTATTAGCCATGATCTTGGACAATAACCCAAACATATCACCTATATCACCAGACTTCCATTTCCAATCTCTGAGATGATGCAGGTATGACAAACACTTCACATCATACTTAGAGGTTAAATGGTCACAAGAGCAACCCTGAAGATGAACACAAGTAATATTTTTACCAGTTTAAGTTGTTCCCCAATGTACCTTCTCAACAGTAATGTCTTTAAGTCTCAATTCCCACATTCAAAAAATGGCAGACCAAGACTGCAACTCAACCAGGCACAGTGGATCAAACCTATAATCTCAGCAACTCTAGAGGCCAAGGCAGAAGGATTTCAAACTCAAGGATAGCCTCAGCAACTTAGGGAAGCCCTAAACAAATTAGCAAGATTCTGCCTTAAAATAAAAAATAAAATGGTCTAAGGATTTAGCTCAGTGATGAAGTGTCCCTAAGTTCAATCCTCAGTACCCCCATACACACACAAAAAAAGATTGCAGCTCATTTTGATGCCAATAATTATATAATAACTCTCATTAAATTACCTGTACTTTTGAAAACTTCTTTCTTTTAATACATAATTTTGAAGCTAAAGAAACACTAACTTATGGAATAAAATGCTATTTGGAGCTGGGCACAGTGATGCACACCAGTAATCTCAGTGGCTCAGGAGGATTGCGCATTCAAAGCCAGCCTCAGCAACATGGAAGCACTAAGCAACTCAGTGAGACCGGCTCTCTAAATAAAATACAAAATAGGGCTTGGAGAAAAAGCCAGATGCCCCTACTTTTGCTTTTTAATTTTTTTGCTTGGGGGATTTTAAGTGACAAATAGATTCAACACAAATGCCAAGAGTTTTAGTGAAATTAATTCACTTAGGTCTATGTAAGAAACACAGGATATAATATACTTAAAACATCCATCACGGGGCTGCGGTTGTGGCTCAGTGGTAGAGCACCTGCCTCATATGTGTGAGGCACTGGGTTCAATCCTCAGCACCATATAAAATAAGTAAATAAAAATATTTTGTCTATCTACAACTAAAAAAATTTTTTCAATTCATCACAGAGGATATAAGCATTAAAATGATAATGTACACTAAGTTAACTTTTTAACAATTTCCAAAATGAAAACATACAAAACACACACACACACTCACACAGAGTTTTACCTGAAAGATCATGTCTAGTAATAAAGCTCTCAGGATTTGACTGAAATGCTCTTTCTCCTGTAGTAATGCGACGAGCCACACAGATCATACAGGACTGCAAATCTACAATCAAAAATTTGATCAAATAAGGATTCTATTTATCTTAGGACATATCTATTGCAGGTGAACAATGACATGAACTACAGTATGAAGTTATTTATAGCAATGGAAGCCATATGCTCCAAGTTTGCTGCTGTGTTTCATAAATATCATAAATCTGATTACTCTTACCTTCCCCCTCCTCCATCATAGCTCGTGGCTGAGACAAGGCAAAGCACTGCATTGTTTCATATCTCTGGCGCATTTCAGGACTGGTATTCATGTCTTCCAGAATATCGTGTGTTGTTTTCATCAACATACGGCAATTAAATGTATGGCTTTTTTGTCTCTGGGTTTCACTTGTCCAGGAAACTCCATTAACTTTGGAAAATAAGTGGAAATAACTTTTTAAAAATCTAAAAACTCAATCCAAGAGTATCATCAAGAATTCATGCTACGGGTAGCAGAGTGCTTACCTAGATGCACAAGACCCTGGATTCAAAATGGAAAGGAAAGGGGATAGGGTGCAGCTCAGTGGTAGAGCGCTTGCCTAGCAAGTGTGAAGTACAGAGTTCAACCCTCAACACCACATAAAAGAATAAATTAAAAAAATAAAATCACTAAATAAAAAATAACTAAAAATATTTTTTTAAAAAGGAAAGAAAGAAGAAGGAAGGGGGAATGAAATGGAAGAAGGGGAGAAAGGAGGAAAACAAGAGAAAAACACAAAAGAAAGAAAAAAGGGATTCAAGTGATAAACCAGGCATGATGGTGCAGACCTATAATCCCAGCTACTCTGGAGGATTCACTTGAGCCCACCAGGTTAAGGCCAACCAGAGCAACATAGCAAGACTCTGCCTCCCCACAAAAAATTCAACTATGTTTTCTCATTACATATACTTTCCATGGTAATGCCTATGCTAACATTTAGAATGGTAATATAAAAAACATTTGAATAATTTCAACTTCAACAGAAATATCACTGTATATTTTTTAATGTTTTTTTTAGTTGTAATCAGACACAATACCTTTATTTCATTTATTTATTTTTTTGTATGTGGTACGAAGGATTGAACCCAGGGCCTTGCACGTGCTAGGCGAGTGCTCTACTGCTGAGCCACACCCCCAGCCCCTCACTGAATATTTTGACCCCATAAAATTTACTGAGACCATATCTAAAAATTTAATTAACCACTTACCTCTAATCCTTACATTTCTAAAAAGTACATTCAATTTTCTTAGAAATCATTTTTTAAAAATTGTTTAAATATTTAGAAAAATCACATTAAGAGCCTACCTGTAGATTTTGGTAAGTTTTTAAGAAAATCCTTTCTATCTTCTTCATGCAAAATATTATACACACTTGTGTTAACCAAGTCCTCCTGTTTATATTGCAGGTATTGTGTGACATTTTCTGACACAAATACAATGTTTCCATCTCGATTCACCACGAACAGGAAACCATCCAATGCCTAAAATGGGATGTTAATATCTATTAATACCTATTAATTAATATGTTAATACCTATTATAGACCATATGTTAATACCTATTATAGACCAAACTGTATCCCCTCAAAATTCATATGCTGAAGTCCTTGCCCTCGGTGTGACTGTTTTGAGGGGGGGTAATTAAGAATAAAGAGGTCATAAGGGTGGGATCCTAATCCCATATGACTGGTGTCCTTATAAGGAGAGAGGAAGAAAATACCAAGGATACACACAAAAAGAAAAGGTCACATGAAGACACAGTGACAAAGGAGAGAGGACTTAGGAGAAACCCATCCTGCTAACACCTTTATCTTGGACTTCCAGCATCCCAAACTGCAAGAATAAATTTCAGCTGTTTAAGCCTCTCAGGCTGTGATCTTCTGTTTTGGTAGCCTTACAAGACTAAAACAACAGCCTTATTACTAAGTAGGACTTGCAAAGATTGGGGGGGGGGGGGTTAACAATAACTACAAACAAGCATAAGCCACCATCTCTATTAACATTAACAACATTATTACAGGACTTATGAAGAGTAAAAAGAACAATTTGGGAGGAAAAAAGATAAGTAGTATCCACATAAATCTCAATTAATGTATAACCTATTTTTTTTTAAGAACTGCATTTTCAAAGGAGCTTTTAAAAGAGAAAATCATCCTTCATTCCTTCCTCTCTTCCATTTGATATCAAATCATACCACAGAAACTAACATACTATTCCTTAATAAAAACTTACAGAGAGGAAACAAAAACAAAAACTTGAGCAGATAAAAAGCAGTTGGAACAAACTAGCTGAAAACAAGTAAACTTGATGAAGGGATCAGCCCCTGCCTTGAAGTAAAGCACTCTGTGTTAAGAGAGTGATAAGATCTAAGACAACTACTTAAAACACAGTGCATATTTTAAATGTTATAAACTTATCAAGAATATGGAACCTGAAGGCTGGAGGGTGTCAACTCTGTTTTAAAGCATTTGCCCAGCAGGCATGATGAGGCCCTGGGTTCAATCCCCAGCGGTACAAAAAAAAAAAAAAAGTGAAAAATGAAAAAAAAAAACTGTATGCCATGTGATCAAATATGCAAAAATGCACAAGACTAAACTAAAAATGCATGCAAATATTGCCTCTATAAAATACTTTGTGAAATTACGGTTACCATTTCTCTCCTACGTGTGTGTGTGTGTGTGGTTTTTTTTGAGAATTTTTTTAACATTTATTTTTTAGTTATCGGTGGACACAACATCTTTGTTTGTATGTGGTGCTGAGGATCGAACCCGGGCCGCACGCATGCCAGGCGAGCGCACTACCGCTTGAGCCACATCGCCAGCCCTGTGTGTGTTTTATATCAGTTTGCAGCTCCATTTTTATTAAGGGGACAGGACTTCCGGAGCTATGTTACATTGTAATTTTTACTATTATATTCTGAACATTGATTTATGTTCTCACAGAAAGAAATGTTTTCTACATGTTCTCATTTCCTAACCAAAATTTTCTTTTTATCTTTTTTACTTTATGTTATAACCAAAGTGCAATATATTTTATATTTACCTGAAGTAAAAGTGGTCCTAAAGAGTCTTTATCAATAACACCTTGTCCTGTAGAAGACACATCCGCTTTCTGAACATCATCATCACTAGAAATAGCTTTTCCTGGAAAGACAAAAGGCAGCACTATGCATAGCACAGATATCAGCTGTAGATTAAATATACTTTCAAACGGTTCTCAGAAAACACATGCACGCGTGCACACACAGGCATGCCCACATTTTTTATATATATTATATATATATTATATATACAGAATATTTCCTGATAAGAAAATGCCACAATTTAAAATATTAAACTTCATATTTACTCAGGAAAGCAGAACATACCTAAATTTTCTTCCACTAGCACTAGCCGTTGGCTTCCTGAAATTACGTTAACTTTTTTTTTTAATTAGTTGTAGATGGACACAATACCTTTATTTATTTTTGTGTGGTGCTGAGGATCAAACCCAGTGCCTTACTCATGCTAGGCGACTGCTCTACCCCTGAGCCACAACCCAAACCCCCATGCAGTTAACTTTTAACAGCGACACTGGCCTTCCAATTCTCTGTTAACTATTTCCTAAAAAAAAGCTTTTGTCCATTATCGTACTCTCTAGCCTCAATCATTTGTAGTGCCCCCCCTAAAAAAGTAGCAACGCAGCAAATACAGGGGCTGGGGCTTGCAAAAAGCCCTGGGTTCTGTCCTCTGAACCCACCTATACACAAAAATCAACACAGCACAAACTCCTTCCAAAGACTTTAGAGTTTTTCTTACTTTGTATTACCTTGCTCTTTTATTTGACGTATCTGTCTTACTGTTTCCTTTAAAATTGCACATTTATCTGGTTTGACGTTGAAATTGTCAATATCACTAAGATTTGCAGATATCAGTTCAGCCAATTCTTCAATATATTTACTCTCCTGCTCTCGTCTCCACTTTTCACCACTGCAGGTAAGACTAACAAGAGAGGAGAAAAGCCATGTCACACCTGCCACAAGAGCTATAAGCAGAAACAACCCCCACACACCATTACTTCATGTGTAAAGGAACTAAACTCAGCCAACAGGAACTATGAAAACATTGTTAATGGAGAAGTAACACAACACAGTAGAATTTCATGCAAAGCTAAATTCAATTGCACCTTTTTATTAGCCAGGTGGCCTTGGGAAGAGCAAGCCTCAGTTCCCTCACCTGGAAGGCAGGAACAATCTTTACCTTGTAGAGGTAAACAACTAACAAATAATAACAAAAACAGGCACTTATTATTAATGATGAAGCTTTATGAATTACAGATTTTTTTATTTTTTCAACTATTACTTTAAAGTTAACATTAGCTTTGGCAAATATTTTAAAAATTACAGAGCAGTACTACACAGATTACAGCATTTTAGTTCTGATTTTGTTAAGCTTCTAATTTCATTCAGGAAAAAGAAAGTAATGTAACCTTTAAATGCCAAAACATGAAACTTACAACATATTCTTAAAGGATATCAAAGATTCTTACTTATAATACAGTCACCTATTCCTAACTCCTAACTCCTATACTGTCCATCCAGAAATTCTTTTTAAAGTAACAGACTATTAAAATAATATTCTGCCTTCTGTCTGAATCAGTGATTCCTCTGATGTGAATCTTTGATTCTTTCATATCATAAAGATGTCCACCTCGTCTTCACTGCACTTGATATAAAACAAAATCACATTTAAGAAAAAAATTTTAATCTAATGAGAGAACGTAAATAACAAAGTTGAAATGGTATCCTTAAACTAAACAAAACAGAGGGGAGAAGGGAAGGGCTGTGGGGAAACATCTGGAAATAAATCACCTACCCCTGTCCTGGAGTATCACATGGCAATTTGCGTTTTCGTGAGTCACTGGCCAGTGGATCCAAATTTTCTCCTAACCCACTCATCCTGATTATACATTAGTGACTAAGAAAGAATGATGACAGATAAAAGCATTATAAAATATCCATTTCTCCATGAAAATGTCATTATAATTGCATGCTATAATTCAGTAATACTTTCTCAATATTCTTTATCATAAATCAGTATAATTAAAAACCTCAAAATTCATCTTTCACATTAATTATGCAGAACATCCAATCTCAAGACAGAAATGTTTCAGGCCCTGTTTAAAATGTGCATATTAAATACTTCAGAGTATAAGGCTTTTTATTCATATTTAGTAACATAAGACTGCCAACCCTAATATTGATAAAATTCTGTATTTTATTTATACCCCAGTGGAAAGCACAAATAGTTCTTATCTTGTGATTTGATAAGAACTCTTCAAATGATAAACCTAAATTATTCAGCCTATTTTGGCATTTTTCCTTCAAATCATTTCATTAATATTTATCATCTAATATGTTTTTCTTCTATTAAATTAGAATAAGCCTGGACTATATAAACAATATTGTAAAACTCCCCTACATTCTGCTTAGAAAGAAGTAGGAAAACAGTAAAACCAAGGGGCGGGGGAAATATTTTGACACTAAACCACACAGTAACAATTATTTTAATACTGACTGACTGAAAACTCTACTAAAACATATTTTTCTAAGATAAAGATAAAAAGTATTTTATTGAAAAAGAAAAATGAATTTTTAACACTCAGTGGATTATAATTTAAGATATATACTAAGTCTTCATTTACTAAGAATTTCATGTATACTAAACTCATTTATAATAGGATAAGCACTGTTCTTTAATTCCAAGTCCTTGAGTGCAGGGTGCACAGGAGGCTGAGGCAGAGAAACACAAATTTCATATCAGCCTCAATGACTTACACTGTCTCAAAATAAAAAAGACTAGGGATGTACCTCAGTACCTAGGTTCAATTTTAGGTTAAAAAAAAAAAAAAGAATTCCATGTCACCAATAAAGTTCAAATCTTCTAATTTTTTTTTTAAATGTTAGGATGTATCTGGCATTCAGTTGGGTCCACAAGACATATCCTGACATGCACATCCACTAGGTGGCAAAATAATACCAGAAAAGACGACAAAAAAATGCAGGAAAAAGATGCCAATCAAACCTAAAATATGTAGCTTTAAAAACAACCCTAATCACGATTACTCAGGAATTCTAGACTATAGAATTATTTTACATATTCACTTTGTATAAATTAAATATAGACTAAATTCCACACTCTAATTTTGGTAGTAAAATGTAAAAGCTGACAAGTATTTTAAAGATATGCTGGGGAGTTTTTTCTCCCTGACATAAATCTAAGTCAAGAAGAGAAATAAAATAACCTTAATTAATCGTATTCCACCCCCCAAAAAATGTGGCTCAATACGATTTTTAAAGCATACTCGGAACACACAATCTCAGGAGTACTGTATTTTCAAAACTATCAATGTCAAAATAAAAGGTCATTGTCACAAAAGATACTCTATATAAACTATCCAAATTAAAAGAATCTAAAGAAAAACTACCATTAAATATAATATTTGATCCTAGAATGGATCCTGTACTGTAGGGAAAAAATTCTAAAATATACATAACTGAGTTAATTGACAAATTACAATGTGGACAATAAATAAAGGTATTCTATCAATATTAAATTTACTGATGTTGACATATGAACTATGGTTATTGAAGAGTATCAATATTCTTATATTTAGGCTCAAGAGGCCATTATGTATGCAAATGGCCTTCAGGTGGTGGAGGAGGTATTATAAGTAAAAACTAGGAAGGGGAAGAAGGAGTGGAAGGGATTAAATCGAAAAATTGGCACTGGGTCAATCTTGGGGGTAGGGGAGAGAAATTACAAAGCCATTGCATTTTTCTTTTCCTTGTAACTTTGTTACTGGGAAATAAGCAAAATTGAACGCAAAAGTTTTAAAATATGTTCAGGTTTGAATTTCTACTTTTCATATTTAAAAAGAGCAATGATTCATAAGTACAAAAATAGATTGATCTAGCTACATATCAATTGGGTTTTCATCTGGGTCATTCAAAAGTTATCTTTAAATTGAATGGCAAACCATCCAATGAGTAATAACATCTCTATTTTAAAATACAATTTAGACTACATTCTATACAGTATTTTCCTACTCTGGTGACAAACAAGCTAAATCTCAAAAACTGAGTGGAAAAAACTATTCAGTGATCAGTAACATTAACTTGAAAACTAATCTATATTTTCAATATTATGCCTTATACTTTGCTATGAAATCTAAGCTGAATCCTCAGTATAGCGTAATGTGCCTAGCATATAATAAGTGTTGAATGAATGCATTGAATAAATACTGAATGAACATTCAACCTACCATATTTCAGAATTTCTTTCACTTTGATCTTAAAAATCATTCAATGCAATCCTATTACTTTAAACTTAATTTTCAATAGAGAATTTACACCAGGATAATCTCAATATGGAATTATCATATTATCAATCAAAACCAGAAATGCACATGTCATTGGTGCTAAGTCAATGTTTAAATGCATATTGAGAAACTTAGAAATGTCTACTATGTCTGTACATACAAAAGGCTCTTTCTCTTGACCTTGGCAGATAAACAAACAAGCTACAAGGTACACATAAGCCTGTGCAGTCTCTGTGCTACCAACTTATTCTCACTGAGTTCAACAACACCTAGGAACACAGGTAATTAATTCTCTAGAAAGGTGCTAACACAAAATCCTGGTAAAACAGGGTAAAGATGTATATCCAAACATGGACAGTATAATTATTTAAGACACATTATATTTCTCCTATTTCATTCTTTTAGGAACAGATTTGACAAAGTTTTTTAAGACATTGACAAATCTTGGTACGTTCAGCCTTCAGTTATATAGAACCACAATGTCCAAGAGGGAATGACACACTACTGTACAGCAAAATTCCAAGTAGAGCAAATCTCCAAAATCATTAAACTAAAGAAAATGGCCAACATAAGAAAGTATTTCTTCCCCCCCAAAAAAAATAATAATAATTTTAATATATTCAATAACTAATTCCGGAGGACAAATGACTGGCACTTTTATGTCCAGTTCTCTACTTGATCTTAGTTATAAACAAACAAAAATTATAAATAAACATTTGTTTTACTTGCCAGGCATGTCTGCTTCTAAGAGAGTACACCTTCTAACTTGATAGAGAATCCTTTTTTAAAGTAAAAAGGTAAGCGCCCAGCATACAAACACTAAGTCTCATCCATTTTCAGTCAGTAGTCAAGAAAGGAATGACAGAGAGGGCATAGCATGTACCAGAACCCTGAAGTTCTAAAGGTTAATAATTGCAGATCGTAACCAGATAGCTTACATTCTTATTTTACATCTTAAATTAGTTTGGAGGATATATGAAATTGGAACACTCCATCTTCAAAGGAGAAATAACACAAGAATTTCACAGCATACTTGATTATAAGACTAGACTTTCAATAGGGCATGAAGGTGTATGCCTAGAATCCCAGCTATTTGGGGGACTGAGGCAGGAGGAACACAAGTATAAGGCTAGTTTGGCAACTTGGTGAGATTCTGTATTAAAAATTAAAAGGGTCAGAGTGCAGCTCAATGCAACAGCACCTGTCTAGCATGTGTGAGGCCCTATGTTCAACCCCAGTATCACAGAAAGAAAAAAAGATTAAGGCTTACACAGATGAACAGAAATAATACAACATAGACATGCCTGTGTAATATACATAAATATTATTTTGAAGTTTACAATGAAGATATTCCCCCAATATACTGTTAAAATGGAAAGTTGCCCCTAATGCACTTCCAGATAGACCACAAATCACAAAGATCTTTTAAGCCCTTGACTCTACAGTATAGAAAAGAACTAGAGTAGAGAACTTTTCATTATATCAGAATCAAAAACAAACTCAGTCTTTCAATGTGAACAGATCCTTAAGCCATTCTCACCATTATTTTGTCTGAAACACTTCTACTGAAGAGTCCTGTGCTATACTAATCAAGTGCACTAATGCAACAATACACACTTGAAGTTAGGATTACATTTAAGATATTTTATGTAATTACTTTAATTATAGAATAGTAATTTAGAGTATCTTTCAATGCTATAAAAATTCAATCTCATCTGTTTTCTATATTATTCAAAAAAACCAGAAGCATATCCATGATAAAATTTAAAATGACTAAGAATCTTCAACTAGGTAGAATTCTTCACTAGTCAGATGAACAGTAAGTACTCCTTATCCAAAAGAAAAAGATCTTCATCAACAATACCAATGTCCACTCTGAATTTTTTACTCTGAGTAAAAAGTTATTTTGGGAACCTAAGAAAACTGATGCAGCACCAAAAGAGTAAGAGATGGGCTATCTATCCAGTAAATCCAAATTGGCAAAGAGACCAACTAAATATTTTGCTTTTCCTAAGTTAATAAAAAGAAGGAAGGCGATCATTTCTGTGGCATCATGGTGTTAAGCATCTCACATGATAACATATGCCTTGGAGGGCCATTATGAGTAACATTCAGTAATGTTACTCATAAGGCTTTTCAAGGCATATGTTACCATTCCATTACAGAGAAGGAAATGGCTAAATAACTTTTCACAAGATCTCACAGGGATGCTGGATGGCAGAGCTAGGACTGCAGTATTTTTTTCAGACTTGTTTTTTGTCTTTGCAGATATGGGAACTGACTCAGGGCCTTGTTCTTCTATACAAGGGCTCTACTATTGACCTACATATATCCCCAATCCTTTTATCAGACTTCATTACCAACAAAATGTTATCAAATGTTTCTGGGGCATTTTATTTCCCACAACTTATTTACTTATACCACTGAATCATACTGTCTCTAACCAGTTTGCCACAAATTTCTTAGCTCGTCAATAAGAACATTGAAAAACTATAGCATGCAGAATTTAGGGACATGCAGCATAAGGGTCAGAGGCCAGCTCAGCAGTCACTAATGCTGCTATTCTCTCCATCCCCTTAACCTAACCCTAATCATTGCTCCCCAAGTCACTGGGTAAACTGAGCTCTGTGGTAGTCTAACATTATCCACAGCCCCTATTTCCATTTGAAATGAACAGTCAGTGGCTACACAAGAAAATTTGAGATCAGACAAGCAAAAACTATAACCAAAAATAACCTGTCAAGTATTGTTGTTCTGGGTTTTTAAAATTAAATGTTGGGGCCAAGAACTGTTGACTATTCCATGAGTAATTTAGTTTATCCATCGGGTTTGCCTGTCTGACTTATATAAGGTATGATTAAGTACACTAATTAGGGAGAGTTTCTGGGTGTCTCCTGAGAATCACAGTAACTTAAGGAAAGAAATTTCCAAACAACAGCTGTGGATTTGAATTGATTTACTGAAAACTGCTTGAAATGCTATGAAAAGTGTGAGAATGCTCAAGTCAATTGGGGGGGGGGGGCAGGGAGCACTCCTGGGAAGAATTTGAGACATTCATTCATTCATAAAGATTCTACCCAAAATTCAAGTTTCTAATTGGCACTCCTTCTCAGACAATTCAATAGGCAACACTAGGTAATCTAAGGGCTTAATCCTGCAAGATTATTTCTTCCAAAATATCAAATGTGGATTTTTCTTCCCAGTCTGTTGACCATACTAAAAAATGTTTACAGTTCCAAGAAAACTGGCACTGTGAAGGGAAGGACCAAAGATAAATATAACCCATTACATGCTTAAGGGGCAGAGGGAGACAAGAAGGACACAAATCCATAAACATGGAGCCATTATGCAAGCTTCCTCATCAATTGGATGATATGTTCAAAGAAGCTCCTTTTAACCATGGTAAGAAGGATAAAAGTCATGAAGAGACAGCAGGAGGGTAAAGAGAGGCAAAGTTTCAGATAAAAACAATCTTCAGTTAAGTACGGTGGCGGTGGTGCACACCTGTAATCCTAGCAGTTTGGGAGGCTGAGACAGGAGGATCATGAGTTCAAAGCCAGCCTCAGCAAAAGCAAGGCACTAAGCAACTCAGTGAGACCCTGTCTCTAAATTAAATACAAAATAGGGCTGAGGATGTGGCTCAGTGGGCAAGTGCCCCTGAGTTCAATCCCTGATTCAAAAAAAAAAAAAAAATCCTCAGTTAGGGGTGATGGTAAACACCTGTAATCCCACAACCAAGGAAGTTGAAGCAGGAGAATCTCAAAGTTTTAGGCAAGCCTTGGCAATATATCAAGATCCTGTCTCAAAATAAAGAGGACTGGGGATATAAATCAGTGGTAAAGCACTACTACCCCAGAACAACAACAATCTGGCAATATCCTTTGCTTCTATTACTGATAATTTATTCTGTTTCTGGAATAAAGTATAAACCACCTAATGAATTCATTTTTCAATTTAATTCCCTCTCAGCTCAAACACTTGCATGCCCAGGATCAAAGATGAGTGACACCACAAACTGCTAGAAATCTCAAGCTAGCTGAAAAGAAAACCATATAAACAAATTTGGTACGTGTTAAATTGAAAAAGCCACAGAAAGACAGCCAAGAGAAAACCTACTAATCTACAGCTTTTTAAAAACAGAAAAACTATACACCTGGTGTCTATAATAAACTATCTTTGCAGACACATATACAAAAAAATGGTATAACCTTGGATCCTGGTAATTTCTTTTCCTCTTACCTTTAGTTTATTGCCAACATGTAGGGAAATGGGCAAGGAAAATAAAGTAAAATGTCCTATTATTTTTAATATATGAATTAAACTGAAAAGCACCTGAATGTAAATTGACTGTTTAATTCGGAAGGTCACATTCTCTCTCCTCTCTCTGTATGCCTCTCCTTTTCATTCTTAATCAACAGGCTGACTCCAGTGCTCCTTCACAATTTTGCTCTGGTTTCAACCTGACAAAGTTGAATTCAAACACAAACTCCCCAGAGGCTCTAGTACCAGAAATGGGCATACCAATTAGCCAACGCAGGTGTTAGCTGCAACTGGAAGCTTGTTGCCAGGAGACTTCTCAACCTCCACGTGAGCAACAGAGTTGAAGTTCACAAATATACACTGTGCAGAGGGAGTTAAGCAAGCCAATTCCATCTAAATTGATAATCCTCTCCTGATAGCATACTAACTAGCTGTGTAACTCTTGTTTTAAAGGTTACATTTGACTCTATAATTTAATACACTGAATCTATCTCCCATACAGAACTAAATCTGAGCTTCGTGAATTTCATTTTCAACATCTTATTGTCAGCTGTACTTCATCCTCATCACCACCATCATTAGTAGCCTCATGAGCCTAAAAGTTTCTAGCAAAGGATGATTACAGAAACATTTCCTACTTTGTTTGTAATCTTAAGTCATTAATTTCTTTTTAAATTTCTCCTATACCCCCTCTTCTATTTAGAATATCCTGCCTCTAAAATCAAACTCCACTGCCAACTTTGGTGAAACCATCCCTAACTCTTCTGGTTAGAGAAAGTTTTCTCTTTTTTATCCTGATGTTTTTGTGTTTTGTTTTTTGTTTGTACTGGGATTTGAATTCAGGGGCTTGTACATGCTAACTGAGCTCTGCATCCCCAGTCCTTTTTGACACAGGATCTAAGTTGCCCAGGCTGGCTTTGAACTTATAGTCTTCCTGTCCCAGCCTCCCAGGTTGCCACAATTACAGGTATGTGTCACAGCACCCAAGTAGCTTTTATACTTACATTGTAACATTTTAAATACTATACTATTTCTATTCATTTTTTGTCTCTACTTCCTATACTGTAAGTTCTACCTGTAAATGCTTTTATATAAGATTCTTGTTTATTGCAAAACTCCTCTTTTTTTTACTAACACCACTTCCATTGTTCCTTTTTCCACCTCCAGTTTCTCCATTTCCTTCCCATGGGCTGTACTTTTGACCAACTCCTCATCTTCCAAAAATACAGAGAAGGTTTATAGAGGGGAAGTAAGTAAATACTTTGTAGAAAGTTTCTTCTTTCAGAATTGTTATTTTTCACTTAGGTCTTCCCATTCCAAGAATATAGTGGCTTCAAGCTACCTATAAAACTCAATCAAGGGTCTGAATCCTTCAGCTGATTTACTACGATACAATAAAGACGATGAGGCTTTTTTGGGATCAAACTTGAGAAATAAATCTCAATTTCATCGATTCACTAAAGGTAAACTCTCATCACCTGTAAAAAGCTTACCACTTGTAAAAACTGGGGATAATCATATCTTACATATTCATGTTTACTGGGAGGCTAAGAAGCAACACATAGCAAGCAATTGGTGTAGGGAATACTGTGATTCCCCCCAAAAGTACAGGACACCAAGAACAAAGATGCCCATTCAGCAACATTCATACTTCTCTCATTTGAAGAACAAATAGCTACAAATATCTCAACTGAAAAGACTCAGACAGGGCTGGGAATGTGGCTCAAGCGGTAGCGCACTCACCTAGCATGCGTGCGGCCCAGGTTCGATCCTCAGCACCACATACAAACAAAGATGTTGTGTCTGCTGAAAACTAAAAAAATAAATAAATATTTTTTAAAAATATTTTAAAAAAGAAAGAAAGAAAAGACTCAGACGAATAACTAAGTAACCAGAACTATTCAGGCTATCTTCAACTTACAAATAGCTAACCAGAATTCAAAACATTTTCTCACTGAAATAGTGTGGTAAATGGTAGATAGGAGCTACCATGTTGTTTTCATACAACCATGAAAACAGAATAAATCAAAAATATTAAGTATGTGTTCTTATGATAAATAGGTATAATTAAAGAATAAACAGGCATATTTTAGTCTGAAAAGACTCTCCAGGTACCCCAGATACAGTACACAGTGTGGGGTTTTGGTGGCTTGCTCATTTTAAGGATCTCTTTTTACCTCTGAATTTGTGTTTTAACTTTTCTTTGACAGACATAAATATCACTATATTATTTATACCTAAGGTTGTTCCTCTGACCCATAATAAAAACATAAGTAGCAAAGAGAAATAAAACAAAAATCAAAGATTTTAGCCCCATTAAGGTAAGTTCAAAGGGCTGGATAAAGAGAAGCAGTGGGAATGTGAGCAGGATATTAGCACAAAGCAGAAATAAAACATGATATAAATTCAATTAGTAAGCAATAAAGGTAAAACTGATGATATACCACATGCCCCAGTGTCTTCTAATCAGTTTTTTAATATGCCTCACAGAAGACAACACAGGGGTGGTGGGGTGGGGAGGGGAGGGGAGTTAGAACTGAAGAGTTATGTTAGCCACCTGTTAACCTAACAGTCGGGAACAGCAAAGCTGATACAGTAGATGGCACTAGGAAAATAAGGAAGGTAAATGGTAACAACAGGGAACTAATCAAAGGCAAAGGCAGAACCTGTAGAGAAAAGAACTAAGTAGAACACACTTCGCCCTGCATTATAAAGTTGTCCCTGTCCACCAACATCCAAAAATATAAAGAAACTATGTGGGTTTACCTGTGATACTGACATTATAATTAACAATGTGGAGATTTAACTGATAAAACACTGAGTTATTTTTCAATGATAAAGTACTGAAGGTGGGAAAGGGAATAAGATGTATCATGGAAAAGTACATTTTGGGTAAACTTCCTCCTCTATAAAAGCAAAGAGGTTGAGGATTGAGATTTCCAACTCCAGCAACAGGACTCAAGGAATCTGACTCATAAGATTTCCTGAATAGGTCATCATCTTTACTTCTGACTGTGGCCTCGTCCTTTTCTTCCCCTGTGACCTCACAACTTATTGTTCAATGATTATAATTCCACTAGTACTTTAAATAACTTTAAATAACTTCAACAGAACCATGGGGGGGGGGCGCATTTATAGGGGATTGAACTCAGGGGCACTTGACCATTGAGCCACATCTCCAAACCTATTTTGTATTTTATTTGAAGACAGGGTATCACAGAGTTGCTTAGTGCCTCACTTTCTGCTGAGGCTAGCTTTGCACTCCCAATCCTCCTGCCTCAGGCTTCCAAGCCTGGAATTATAGGCATGCACCACCACACCCCCGCAGAACCATTCTTTTAAAACAATGTTTCCATATCCCTAGAAGATACATGCTAGTAACAGAATTTACCTTTTCAAATAAGTCTCTAAGACTACAGATATCAATAAGGTACTATTCATTTCAAAAAGCTATAAGGATGGGCTGGGGCTGTAGCTCAGTGGTAGAGCTCCTGCCTCGCACTTGTGAGGCACTGGGTTTGATCTTCAGAATGAATGAATGAATGAATGAATGGCAGCTATCTACAGTAATTAAAAAAAATACTTTTAAAAAAAAAGCTAAAAAATTTCAAATGACTTTACTCTCAAGTAAGAGCCAGGCATTGTGGTACACACCTATAATCCCAACTACTAAAGAGACTGAAGCAAGAGGATTTCAAATTCAAGGCCAGCCTGAGCAACTGGGGTGGGGGGGGTGGGGGTTGTAGGGTGGTGAGAGACAGAGAGAAAGGAGACAGGTATATCTGACCTGATTTAAACTCTATGCAATATACAGAAACATCTTGTTACCCCACTATTAGGGATAATTTTTGTTTCCATGTACCAGTAAAAATTTTTAATTAAAAAGTAAGCCAAGCCTGGAAGACCACACCTGTAGTTTCTGCTACTTGGGAGATGGGCAGGAGTTCACAAGTTCAAGGCCAGGCTGGGCAACATGGTGCGATTTAGTCTCAAAAAGGGCCAGGATGTAGCTCAGTGGCAGAGAACTTTCCTAGCACGTGTAATGCCCTGGGTTCATCCCCAGCACTACACAAATAACTAAATAGATGAATGAATAAATAAATTTCTAAAATCATTATCCATCTCAGGATGACAACAACAAATAATCCATGAGAGCATATATAACAAAAAGAAAATGTTTGTGGTGTCATTTATTTGTTGAAGGATGAGGTAGAGTTGGTAGAAAAGTTAAAAGTTATCAGAACTTAAGTTCAACAACCTCACCCAGTTATTTCTATATACTGTGTGGAGCTAAAAATCTGTATCTCTAAAGTCACGATAATTTTAGGTAAGAAAAAATAAACAATACTGAAGAATAGCATGAAAGGCACATTACTCAACTTCTGTGAAGTCATGCAGAACTGGTTAAAACCAAAACCTACTTCAGCACATATCTTAAGAGTGGTCTTCAACACTCTTCAACATATTTGGGTATTATCCACATAAACAAAGGAAAAAGCATTCCCCATTTTATGTGTCTGTAATGTTGATCATAACAGACAAAGCTTTTTGCTTTCAAGGAGCTAATGACCCAGTGTCAGGGATCAAACTAGTTAGTGTGTAATCACATACTATATTATGTACTACCAAAAGAGATTAATAAAAAGCAGTAGCTGATCTGATTCAAAGGCAGGAACAACAGCCAGGCATGGTCATGAATGTATACAGTCCCAGCTACTCAGGAGGTTGAGGTGAGAGGATCACAGACCATGTCTCAAGAAAGCAAAAGCACTACATCTTTTAGTAGTAAACTGCAGATTTACATCAGAGATTAAGGAATTTGAACAGCTAAGTAACAGCCTTATACAGCTGTTCAAATTCCTTAATCTCTGATGTAAATCTGCAGCTTACTACTAAAAGATAAAGTGTAAGGTTGATGACAACTAAATTGTCCTTGAAATTGGCCAGACCTCATTGGTTAGCTCAGGCCTCCTTCATGTTTCAGCAAAACAGAACAGAAGCAGCTGAAACAGAAACTGGGCTGTGCTGCTGCACAGAAAGAGCAAGGTAAAAGATTTAATTCAAATACTTCAAGCACTGCAGCCAAATTCACTACATCAGTGTGCTCAAGCTTTTTGTCTTGGGATTTCTTTATCTCTTAAAACCTGGGAGTCCTGGGGGTGGGGCTGTATGTAGCTCAGTGGTAGAGCACTTGCCTATCCAATGTGAGGCACTGGGTTTGATCCTCTGCATCACATAAAAATAGACAGGCAGATAGACAGATGTATTATGTCCATCTACAACTAAAAATATATTTTTTAAAAAACTGGGAGTCCTAAGAGCTTTCCTATGGAGTTATATCTACCAATATTTACCATATTTGAAATTAAAACTTAGAAACATTTGAAATATTAATTTTTAAAGCCTATTACATACCAATAGTTTTTGTGAAAAACAATTTTTCTGAAACCAAAAAATTCAAGGAATGGCACTGTTTTAAATTTTTGCCCAGCATATGCCTCTATTAACAGAAGACATTTATTGTTTCAATGTTATTATGAATAAAGCTATGAAGAAAATTCACCCTCACACAGACATGCTAGTTAAAGGAAAGAATATTTTAATAGCCTTTCACAAATAATTATGAATATTTTCCCTTAATATTACACAAAAACTTCACACATGGTAGTTTTATGTCTGTTTTGAGGTACTGGGTAGTTTTGTTTGTTTATTTGGGCAGTACTGGGGATTGGACCCAGGGCGTTGCACATGCTATGTAAGTGCATTACCAAGAAGCCATATCCCCAGCCTGTGTTTAAGACTGGGAGGTCACTAGTCTTGAACCTACAATCCTCCTGCCTCAGCTTCCTGAGTAGCTGGGATTATAGGCATTGCCCCTGCACCCAAGCAAGCAGTGATTTCTTAAAGGTTAACCAAGTAGGAAAAGAAAAACATTTCCCTCTATCCTAAATTCTTAGCTAGAAAAGATCACTGTAAGAAAATACAGATCAATAAAAGAAAACAAACCAAGTTCTTAACATGCAAACCCGATGCATACATGGGAGACACCCAGAGGGGAAAAAAAATCTTTTTTAAAGGGTCATTGAGAATTGGAGTGAAAGAAAGAAAGAAGGTATGAGGGGGAAATAGCTATGGGAAGGCAACCAGGGGAAAACATAGTCAACACTAGTTACGGTCTGTTAAGTCAGTGCCTTCTCCATTGATAACTTGGGTGATTTAGGCATCCTGCTCTTCCTGGTCTTGAGAGAGAAGTTCTTACAAAAGGAGTTCTAATAGGGTAAGTGCCTCATTTCAGAGCTTTTCCTGGATTGTATCTCAAAATAATCCTTTTTTTTTTAACATTTATTTATTTTTAGTTTTCAGCAGACACAACATCTTTGTTTGCTGAGGATCGAACCCGGGTCGCATGCATGCCAGGTGAGCGTGCTACGGCTTGAGCCACATCCCCAGCCCCCAGATGTTTTCCTTAAGTGACAGGTTCACCTCAACTTTTAAGACATAGTCGGCCAAACACCTAACTTTGAGAGGAAAAAAAAAAAGCTGTCATTCTTTCTAGTATAACTATATTCCATGAAAAATGTGGTTAGTTCAACTCACAACAACTGCCCAAGTGCTCTTCATCCAGACAATAACCAACTTCAGCAGGCAGAAGTACTTTGTGCACATTTCCCATTCATAACAGAATATTTTTTTTAAAAAAAATAGTACTCAAGGGTCAAAATTTAAAAGAAATGAACAAATTTTGCTACTTCATCAAAAACAATTTTTAAAAACATTTTTAAGTTATAGATGGACACCATACCTTTATTTTGC